TGGCACAGCTGGAGCACTGTGAACACACACAAGCACCACGCACACACACAGCACCACACCAATACATACAAGCACCAAGCACACACACACAAGCACTGCACACACACACACACACATGCAAAGCTCAGGCCAAAAGCTCTCAGGCAGCTCAGCCCCTTCTGTGGGAGCACTGCAGCCATAGGATGAGGAACAACTGTGTCTTTTGCATGGGACCCAAGGGAAGTGCCCAGGTGCCCCTTGCTTCACTTTGCCCAGCAGCAGCTGCAGAGCAGAGCACTGCCCTGGGCCCAGGAGAGTGCAGGCCATTACCCCACATCCATCATCCCCGCATCCATTACACGCTGTGCCCATCACCCCACCATTTAGCTAATCAATGCAGCAGCCCATAGCAGGGACAGCTGAGGCTGTGCGCTGGTTGCAGTCAGGAGCCCAACCCGGGACCCACTGAGCAGGATGAGGACTGCAGCCCCTTCCCAGTGTTTACAGAAGCCTGTGTCCCTGCAGCCATGTCAATCCCTGAGCCCTGCAGGCAGCCCAGGGGGATGGCATCGGCATCACATCCCATATGGTGGTGGAGCAGCCAGCAGATCCGGCTGGGAGGAGGAAGCAGAAAAGCTTTTCCTGGATGCAAACCAGGGACGGAGGAGCACCCATGGCTGCAATAGGACAGGATGCACCAGGAACAGCAGTGCCTGCAGCCAAATGAGGCCATGGTGCTGGTGGCTGTGCAGCACTCACCTGCTGGCTGCTCCCTTCAGGGCGGGAGATGCTGTGGGATGGGGACATGGAGTATGCCCACTGTGGGTTCACCCCGTGCCACTGCAAAGCTGTGTGCTGGTACTGGTACTGATGGGACCCATGCTATACCCATGGCTGTGCCATGAGCTACCCACAGCTCCCAAGCGCTGCAGTAGCAAAGAGCCTGGATACATCCCCATGCCCTGCTCCCAGGAGCATCCCTGCAGCCAGCAGCAAGGACACACAGCCACGCCGCAGCACCCTGCTCGCTGCCAGCCGTGGGGACGCGCAGCAATGCCGCAGCCTCGCTGGGCAGTCGGAGAAACCGCAGCGTCCTCTCTCGGCCCGAGCACCCCGAGCCATTTTGGGGCACGCAGGAGCCGGCGGGCACCGGTCGGGGCTGTCCCCACGCGGGGCGAGGCGTGGGCTGAGCTCTGTCATTAGGCTCAGGCTGCTCATTGCTGCTGGCACCCGGCCGTGCCTAATTACAGACCATAAACACAGCGGGCTCTGCCCGGCAGCACCGCCCGCTCGCACGGAAGGCACGGCCGAGAGTGCAAAGGTCGGGGTCGGGGCTGCCCCGCGATGCCCCCTGAGGGAGGAGGGTGCGGGGTCTGTGCCCGTGGGTGCGGGTGAGCTGCGCGCGTCGCTGCATGCCGCTGTGTGTCCCCGTGCGTCCGTCCGTCCGTCCCCGCCTGTCCTGCGTGGCTCCGCCGCCCCCAGCCCCACGCACACCCCCGCCCGACTCCATCCTCGCGGTCCCGCAGTGCCGGTCCCATCGCTGCCACCACCTCCGGTCCCCCCCGCTGCCAGTCCTGCCTTCCAGTCCCGCCTTCCCGCCCCCCCGCTGCCGCTGCCCGCATTGCCGACCCCACACCGACGCCCACGGCCCTCCCGTCCTTTTTCTCTCCGGTATCGACTCTCTCTATCCCTCCTCCAGTTCCCGTCCTTCCTTCCCGGTGCCGATGCCCTCCACCCGTACCCCCAGCGCCGCTGCGGCGTCGGTAATCCCGGCAGCGCCGGTGGGCAGCGCGGTGCAGCACTCCCCGCAGGTGCCGGCACCCACTGAGCAGGTAACCCCGTATCCCCAGCGCCGGTACACCCCCCACCGGTGGCGGTACCCCCCGGTGCGGCCCCGCCCCTCCCTCTCCGAGCTGCTTACCGGGCGGCGGGGGTGGAAGCGCTACGCTGCCGTCGCCGCGGAGGCGGATGTCGGCGGTGCGGAGCGGAGCGGCGGAGGGGGCGGCGGCGGCGGCGGCGGCACGGCAGCCCTGAAAGCAGAGCGCCCACGCCTGCTCCTCGTTCAGCGGCTGCTCGTAGCACTTCAGCACCTCCTCCAGGGACAGCTCCCGCGGGCCCCCGCCGCCCGCCCGCGCCATCGCCCCATCCCCGCGCACCGCCGCCGCCGACCTCCGCCGCGGCCGCCGCACGGGCGGGCGGGGCGGGAGGGGCGGAGGGACGGCTCCGCTCGGCTCCGCTCGGCTCGGCAAGGCTCGGCACGCCCCGCCCCGGCCCCGCCCGCTCCGCCTCCCGCCGCCACCGGGGGCGCACGGTGGGTGCGGAGTGGCGCGGCGCGGGGCGGGTGGGTTCGGTTCGGCGCTGTAAGGCTCCGTTTGGCACGGCGCGGCACGGCTCGGTACGACACGGCTCTGCACGGCTCGACTTGGAAGGGAATGCGCGGGCTGGCGGGATGCAGGCACGGAGCGCGGCGTGGGGGACGTCGGGCTGGGTGCGGGGTGCGTGGTGCGGTGCTCAGTGCAAGGCATACAGCTGCGTGCAGGGTGCAGGACACGACGGGGTGCAGGCTGAGGGGTGTAGGGTGTGTGACATGTGGCACGGCTCCTGTCACCTGCACCGCTCAGCCCCTGCCCGGAGGCGTAGGAATCTATCGGCTCCCGGGACTAACCCGCCTAAGGATGCGCCGTGAGCCAGGTGAACGGTCACAAGGACGCAGCAGCTCTGGTGGCTCTCAGAGCCAGGAAGGCTGGAGGCCATCCCTGCGGACTCACGGAGTGCTGTGAGCAAGGTGTTCTCCCACATTCATCTCTGTGTCCGCAGCACCTGGCCCTGTGCATTCCCACATCACCCGTGGCGAAGGAGCTGAGACCTTGCCGCTGGTGTGTGGGATTGGGGCCAGCAGAAAGCACCAAGATGGGGCATTTCACAGAGCCCGTGTTCTACAGGAGCATGGCGTGAAGGCACCAGCAAAGGTCAGTATAGAATCATTGCATTCACGTTGGAGAAGACCTTTACAATCCCCAAGCCCAACCCACCCCACCATGCCCATAACCACACTCCGTGACACATCTCCACACTCCTTGAACACCCCCACGGCCGGTGACCCCACCTCTCCCTGGGCAGCCTGTGCCACTGCCTGACTGCTCTTTAGGAGAAGAAATTTCTCCTTATATCCAATCTGAACTTCTCCAGATGCTCAAGTCTCCATCTCACCTTCTGCACACAACTGCTGAGATTTGAATGTGACATTTGCCCTGTTGTCAGCCGGCTTTACAGCCTACTTTGGAACAGCAGAGGGAGGAAAGCTGAGCACGCTGCCCAGTGTGGTGCTGAACCCAACACACAGCTGTGCTGCCCATGGGCACAGCCAGGAAGGCACCGGTGGGTTGGTGCAGGGCAGTGGGGCAGTGATAACTCAGCCTGCAGGATGCAAGGAAGGGCATTTGAATTATAAAGTGCAGAGCCCTGTGCTTTGGGTACAACTGTAATTAATGTGTAATCAAGATATAATTAAAAGTTACCGCCTTGGAAAAAAAATCAAACAAAGCCAAGCGTGTATGTGTATGTGTATAGGGGAAATTTAATTAAAAATGAAAGAAATGGGGAGGGGGGGGAGGAAGAAAAAAAAAAAAAGAACAGGCTGGAAGAAGGTTGCAAAGTGCTCCAGGAGCATCAGATTTCTGCACTTCCCAGCACCCCATGCAGTGATGCAGCAGCGTGGCAGGGCTGGGCCATGGCAATGCTGTGCCCAGAAGCCTGCAGCAGGCAGTGTTTTGTTTGCAGGTAATACATTCTTCTAGGTGTCCTTTGTCCTATGCAATAATAATTCATTCCAAAGCCACAGGAAGCCAAGATCATAGAATCACAGAATGGTTTGAATTGGAAGTGAGCTCTAAAGGCCACCTGGCCCCAGTGCCTGCAATACAGGGACACCCACAGCTCCGTCAGTGCTCAGAGCCCCCCTGGCTGGATCCTGGGTGTCTGCAGGGAGGGGGCACCCACAACATCTCTTGGCAACCCTTCTGGGGGGGCAGGGGGGGTGTCTCACCACTACAACCATCACAGTGATGGCTTTGCCCAATTTGCTGTGCTCTGAAATGTCTCTCATTGAGTCCCCCCAGAGCAGCTCATTGAGTCGTGGGGTGTCTGTTCAAGCCCCATTTCCTTTCTAGATTCTTCTTCATTAATATTTTAATTAACACCAATTCCCCGAGCAGGCTGCATTAACTCAGGATACCTCCCAGATAGAGCACGGAGGGATTAAATATAGCAAGCACTGCTCTCTGCAAGCTGGTAAACCAGCGAGGCAGCAACCTGCTGGTGATGTTAATAACAGGGATTTGCTCAGACTGGCGCATGGTGGGGGATGACTTCCCTGTCCCGTGGCAGTGGGCAGACACATCCCTAACGTCTGCAAACAGCCTCCCAGTGGGAAATCCCCTGCGGTTGTTCACCTGCTGCCATTGTTCTGCGTGTAACGAGCTGCCACCGCCCTGCGTCACCTGGGCACGTGTCACCTGGGGACGGCGACAGCACAGCGGGTGCGGTAGGAGCAGGGCAGGAGCACGCCGCTGTCCTGGCGCTGCCTGTAGCGGTGCTGGATCCTGGCTGATGCCAGCTGCCTTCCAGGAAGGATCGGCCCAAAATTCCTGTTGGAAGGCATTTGAGAGACGCCGCTCCTTCTCAACTCTCCACCACCTCCATAGCATCACAGAACCGTTTAGGCTGGAAAAGATCTCAATGACCCCCAAGCCTAAGCCCAACCCACCTCCTCCGTGCCCTGTGACCACGTCGCTCGGTCCCACATCCCCACGTTTCTGGAACACCCCAACGCGTCTCACTTTGCCCTTCCCAACATGGCGGCCTCCTGCCCCCCCCCCCCCCCCCCCCCCCCCCCCGACCGCCACTACTAAGATGGCGGAGAGACGACAGATCCACGCCCCCACTATTCTCTCAGCCAATAGGCGGAGGCGCGCTCCTCCGGCGGCAGCCAATGGCGGCGCAGGGCGGGGGGGTTGGTTTGGCGGGCGCGCGCCGTCGTGATGGCGGGTTCGGGCGGCAGTGCGCTGCGGGAGATGCTGGGTAGGTGCGGGGCCGGGGCCGGGGCCGGGGCCGGGGCCGGGGCCGGGTTCTTGGTGCTCCCGGTGCTCCCGGTGCTCCCGGTGCTCCCGGTGCTCCCTGCAGCGTGGCAGAGATGAAAGAAGGATGGATGTCCCATCCCTGCCCTCAGCTCCCCTGCCCTCGGACCTGCGCCATGCTCCGTGCTCACCCCAGGCCCTCCCCGGCACACCCCCCCATCCTCTCGCACACACTCGCAGGCCTGGTGCCCTTCCCGTGGCCTTGATGCCGTGCAAAGGGCAGCACTGGGGTCGGTTTGGGTCTTAGGGCCGGCCTGCAACAACAACATCGATGAGGTGGGCTGAGGGCCCTGTGCTGTACAGCGATGCCCCGCGGTGCTGCTGGGCGATGGGCTCAAAGCTGGGCTGCAGGAGAGCTGTCCTTTGGGGGTGCCAGGGCACGGAGCAGGCCTCGGCTCCTAAGGAAACCCGAATTTCTCAGCAGGGAGAGCCAGGAAACGGAAAAGCAGCTTTGGGAGCACCGCAGAGCTCCGGGCAGCGGCTCTGCGCCTCCTGGATCGTCACCAGAAGCTGAGCGAGCTCCTGCTGGAGGTAGGAGCAGGCAGGGGCCATCCTGGGGCCGTGCTCTGGGACAGGGCAAACCCAGCACCTCTCTGTTGTCACCAGGTTTGGCTTCCTGTGGAGATTGGGGCAAAATCTGGAGAGGCGATTGGATGATGTTCTCTGAATTACACAGTGCTTCTGACTTATGTGACTGTCGTTACGACAGCCTGTGTCATTTGTCTGTGTACAGACCTGAGCCAAGATCCTGTCTTGGCTGTGCTCTGCCTCTTCCCCACACACACTACAGGAGGTTTGTGATTCTGCACGGACAGTTCCGATACTTCCCATGGCTCAGCAGCAAGAATGTTTTTTTTCTCTACAGAATATCTCTCTGTCTCAGAAACAAACAAACAAACAAAACTAGAAAAGGAAACGATGTTTTGCTGTTTTAGGTATTTGTGGCACTGTGGCTGCACTGCTGAGAGTTGAAAGACAGGAATTCTGGTGCTGCTGCTGAGCTGCTGGGAGCTATGGACGAATCACTTTGACCTCTATCAATTTTCTCTGCTTAAAATGAAGATAACAGTACTTCAGTCTCTTGCATGATGTCCTGAAATCTCTGGTTTACCACGGCCATGTAATGGTTTAATTTCATTTTAATTGCTTCTTCTGCATAGAACGCCAGAGCTTCTAAATATGCTTTGGAAGGAATAGATCTATGCATGTGTGTAATAGACATGTAAGACTGTTAGGTTTTTGTTTTGCTTCCAGGTAGAAGGTTCAGTCAAGCCAGCTGGAGAGGGTGGCATAGAGCACCAGGAGTTATCATCAGAATCACTTATTGGTGAGTGAAAGAGTACTGATGGGAGATGAACATGGAATAGAATCGTTCTTTACACACCAAATTTCTGCCTGTTAAATGCAATTCCAATTTTGTATTCTTCCCAGTGTTCCTGATCTGCCTTTCAGCTACTCCTTTCTTACTTCTCCAGTGAACGGTGTCCCTGGCAAGATCTGATTTTGTGTGTTTTGATCTGGAATTTCTCTTCACAGTCATGTGCTTGCACCTTTTTTTTTCCTCCCACGATGTCAAACTTCTGTTTTTTTTTTCTTTTCTTTTTCTTTAAGTCTCTGTTCTGCAGGAACAGGCCTCAAGATTGGGTGTACCTGCTGCAGTCTTGGCAGCCAAAAATGCTGTTACCAAAATCGAGCAGATCTGCCAGTCTTCTGCAAGCCCATCTCAAGCACCTCTGCTGAACTTGGACCAGAGAGTAAGCAAAACAGTTTATATTTTTCTTATCAAGAAAACAGTATTGATGGTTTTGATTTTAAATCCTGGACTGATAAAGACTGATAAGCCCTCTGTTCTGATAAAGATCCAGACATGCAGGACCCAAGAGGCTGATCACTCATTCATGTATTTGATACTCTCATTGATGTGTGGCACTCTTCTCCCATATGGAAAGCTGCTAATTTTTGACAGCTTTCCTGCTGTTGCTGGAGCATCTCTCCATCTTGCACAAGATGCAATCACCTCTAGTGTGCTTCAGCCTTTCCTGATGTGGCTCGGTGTCTTTTATCATTGTTCCATCTTTATCAGTCTTCTCAGTTTGCAGTGTGGGTAGGCATGGTGATGGTCTTCTCCCCAGAAGCTGGGCCATGACTGCTGGCTCACGTCACCCCTGAGGAGCTGTCAGGTGCCAGTGCTGTCAGTTTGGCTGCCTCTAACTCAGTCTTAAGGTGAAAGGCTTGGGCCCTGCATCAGGAACTCTCTCCATACTCAAGTCCTTAAAAACACTAAGCAGGAAAAAAAACAGCAAATTGTTTCTGTAAGAACATGCTACTTATAAAGGAAATTATTTCTGCTTCATTTCTGGGGTGATTCCAGGAAAGGTTGTCTTGCTTGCTTCGAACAGTCAAGGATTTGTTGGAGAACAATGTGTTCAGTTGCTCACACTTCTGTCAGGAAATCTGGAAAATGAAGGTGAGAGTTCACAAAGGAATGTTACTTTGCTACAGACCATTTAGATTTCAGCTATGGGATCAGATAGCAATGCTTTTAACCCTTTTGACCTGTACAGGACAGAGGGAACTCCAAGCTGGACTACTGAAATGCTGCCATCTGCATTCCACTTATTTTGGTGTCTTTTTTTGATCTGCAGCAGTCTTGCCATTGCTCACCCCTGAGGTTTTAAACTCTTTCTGCACGTAGTGAGCATGGCTGGTTCTAGGACAGGCATGGAAGACACAGGATCTGGAATTATAACATGGGAATAAGCTTGCCTTGGGTGTTGCTGCAGATAATACAAGCTTTGGAGGGTATTGTTTTCTTTTCTGCCTAGCTTCACTGACCTACTGTTATCAATGAAATATGTTAATAACTCTGTCCATCTGTACGTAGGTTCCCAGATCAGTGCAGGATCTCCTGTGGGTTACCATGTGGGGTACCATGGTCCCAGAAGCCCTTTGTGTGCTTTGCCAGTAGTGCTCAGTGGGCCTTTTGGCATTCTGGCTCCCTGGCTCTATTTATCTGGGAATTGTGATAAGCCAGAATGAGTTCATGCAGCAAATGGCATGAGAGAAATAGGATAGCTGATAACAAGTCGGATTGTTTCACAGATGTGTTGTCTTCAATTCATTTGGGTGGTTTGTTCTCTGAAGATAAGTGGTGCTCTGGGTAGAGCTAAGTACTTCTTGTGAACCAGACAAGCTTGGTTGCTTGCTGCTCTGGTGGGAAAGAGTGAGGAGACTGACCCAACTGGATAAAAAGGTGCTCTCTAGTCTCAAATGTCCATTCATGGGCTGAAAATAGAATTCCGTGCGTTTTAAGGGCTGATTAAAATCTCCTTGTTCCCAGGTAGACACGGAGATCAAGTGCTGCTGTGTAACTGAGACTGATAGAGTAAAGGATTAAGCTGTTGAAAACGAAGTACGTGGGCGAGCCTGGGGTCGTGCTAAAAAGCAGCTGTGAGTAACTGCAGAAGGCTGCTGGGCTCCTGGTGCCTTGTGTGCTCCCACCACTTCCCCTGCAAGGAGCAAAAAGCGTTTTGTTTCTGGGTCAGAGTTTCTGTACTGGGACTGGAACCAGCAGAAGCTGCTGCTGCACCATTTTCCCTGCCTGGTGCATCCTGGAGCTTTGCTGGCACAGGATGCTCTCCAGGACGTGCTCTTCTGTTGGGAGCTACAAGTGATGTTACAGAGAGGTGGAAAAGGGCAGCGGTTTCATCCACACCAAAGCAGTGCCTGGTGCTGATTGTGGCAATGGCTGGCCTGGTGTTCAGGTGGTTGGTTCCCCTGTGCCTGTCTTGTACAGCTGCAGCATTTCTTTCTGTAGGCTCCTCTAGGGAAATGGGTTTGAAAGCAGCAAAACTGAATCACAGAAGCTAACAAGGAGAGAACTAAGTGATAATTCTCCAATCTGCTATTGGTCCTGAGTGAACAAGACTCTAAATGTAGTAGTTTTCCTGTTTTCTGGGATACCACTGCTCCCTTGTCTATTCAGAATTAGGATTCATCCAGGGGAATGAAGGCTGACATATTTATGACTTGAACATGGAAATGTAAAACGATGTGCTTACCCCTCAACATTTGTAGGAAGGAGAAACCAAACATAACTTTTCCTCATCTGGTATTGATATGTTAGTTTTTAAATTTCCATGAATCCCAGGCTGGGTGACTAACGAAATTTGGTTTCATTTCTTTAGTACACTGTTATCAAAACGTTAAGTGTGAAATATGTGCTGTGACCAAATTGTGACGTTGTTGGTAGGACCTTCCAGTGCTGGAGGCTGTGTGGCACCTGCACAGAAATGGCATCACTGGGCTGGCAGAGCTGCTGGAGAGGTGAGCGGAGGTTTGCACACACATTTAATCTCTTAAAGCCTATTGAAATGTAATCAGGGATTAGTCGTGAGTATTCTGGACTAAGAATATAGTCAGATGCTTGCAGGTGATCAGATTAGCAGGGTTTAAGAAGTTAGCCAGGGTTTGAGAGGTTACTGTGTGTTAATTAGCACAGTTCAGGGCATGGTGACTGCTTATTCCAGGGCTGCTGAATCACTTGTGATGTGGAATGCAGGATGGTTGGGTGGGAACTGCCACTAAAGACCATTCTAGTTAATGTTCTATCTGATTCTTTGTTCCACTGCCCCAGATGACTGCGTGGGGATAAATCCCAGGCGGTGTGGGGAAGGGTTCATAACCCAGCCCCTTTGGTTCACCTGGCTGTGCCTTGAGATGTGCCTGGAAACTCAGTGAGAACTGGGGCTGGTCTTGGTGAGAAGTTTTGCTTCACATAAACCATGTGCTCCTGTCCTCTCAAAGCCACTGTGTCAGTGAGGTGTGGCACAGTTCATCTCCAGAGGATGGTAATTCTAAGAGTTGATTTGTGTTTCCCAATATGGAGCTAACCAGGAGGATCAGTTACTCCTTCTGAAGTTCACGTCGTTATTTTATGGCCTTAAAAGAATATTACTGCAAGCTTTGGTGCAGCCTTTGATGTTGGTTTACTTGTCTGTTAATGGGATAGAAAAAAAAGCCTTTCAGTGCTCACTGTACTTCAAGGAAACCGAAGAGAGCTTGATTTTTTCACATTTTGGAAAGCATTTTTATGTAAACAACTTAGAAATCAGAACTAAAAATCTTAGAAGATTTAAAATTGAAATACTTGAAAAGATAATGAAACTTGGACACGCAGTTCCACATGTATTGCTTTTCATTGTTTGTGTTTGTTTGTTTTGGGAATCTTGTTATGAGGCAACTCAAGCTCTTATTGGGCCAACTTACAGAAATGTGATATACAGGGCAGAGTCCCACACAATCATCTCCTTCCTGAGACCAAGGGGATGGGCAGGGTGAAAAACCACGCAAAGAAATGTGGAAGGGATTGAACTGAATGTGCTTCTGTTTGTTCCCAGCAGTGCGGATGGCCGTGCCGTGGAGGAGTGGCTGAGCAGCAGCCTTTGTGCTCTGTGTGAGCGGGCAGAGGGGCCCCCCCAGGACACAGAGAACGTGGGACATATTCTCTCAGGCAAGGAGAGGGTCTGGCTGCAGCAAATGCTGTGCTGGTGGGGTGCTGGGAGCTTAAGGACAGGGGCCTCGTGCTGTGTTTTCTGATGTTGCTTCAGAAAAGGTGATATATTTAATTCTCAATGAGTTCTTCCCCTCGAGAGATGATTGGTTTGAATTCCTGGATCTCTTTCAAATACAGCATTAAAAGAAAGTAGAGTTGCAAGATGTGTGGGGCCAGCAATGATAGCACATTGGATAAAGAACACAATGCTTATGCAAAGTGCCCAAAATATTTCTAATGAGAAATATTTAGCAGCTGATACTTTTCCCCCATCTTTTTTTCTATTTGGAAATTTATTTTCTGTTTTTATTTAGAAAAAAATCACTACACAGTTTACTGTGTAGGGCTGTGGCCAGACCTTTGGGCCAGTCAGTCGAGCAGGTAAAACTCACATGTGTTCTGCAGTGGTAAAAGAGAGAGAGACCTACAAACTGCTTGGTCTGAATAATCCTTTCAGTTCCTTTGCTTCTTGGCACTGATTGCTCTAAGCCCTTTTTGCCCAGGAGTAATTTTACTCCGTGAAAGAAAAAAAGAAAAGCACTGAGCAGTGTTGCTGACTGTGCTGTGTAGTGAGCGATGCTTTTCAGACAGCAGTCCCGTTGGGAGGGGAAAGAGCAAGTGGTTTTAATGAGGGGGGATGCTGTAACACGGATTCCTTCTTGACTTGCAGACTTTGCGATCATGTTCCTTCAGAATGGCTTTCAGCCTTCAGAGCTGGGGAGGAAGCTGGAACTGAAGAAGGTCCCCCATGTAAGGACGAAAGGAAACTGATGAAAATAGTTGGTTAAAGAAGCAGATACCTCTTATATCGCTGCCTTTCTGACTGTAAATCAATCTGAGTTAGAGCAACAAAGAAAGGGCAGTGGTCCAATTAGCAGGAGTGGGTGAGCAGGAGATGCTGAAACCAGAGCAGAGACCTTTCTATAGAGAATTTCTCCAAGGTGATTTGTCAAGGACTTTTTAGCTTCTTTGGTTTCACCTTGATTGCTCTTTCTTTTCCATCTGTATATGAGGCATGGAATGCTGGTAACCATGGAAAGTGCTTGCCCCTCAGCCTGTCTGGATGTGTTCTACATCAGACCCTGAGGTAGATGTTAAGCTTTAAATCAAGTGGGACAAAACCTTTTCATCGAGCCAGTTTGCCCTTTTTTCATGAAATTCAGCTGTTCTCAACACTAAATGGTCTTAATTTGTCCATTCTGAACAGATCTGCCATGCTGTTTTACAAAGAATGCTGACATGTAAGTGTTCTCGTGATTTGTAACTTTTTGCAGTTGCTGCTGTTTGCTAACTTAATTTCCTTCCTCATTACTAAATCTCTAAGGACTCAGAGAAATCCTCTTTCTGGGATGCTTTCTGTACATATTTGTGTCGCTGATGTTGTGTGTCTCCATTTTCCTCTTTACTTTTGTGAAGTGAGTTTCTTCTATCCCCACAAATAACTTCTTGTTTCTCATGCTAGTTCTTTTTGATCCTCCCAGCTGCAACCCTGGGTAAAGATATCTGAGCTGGCTTTTAACAAGCTTGGTTGGAAGCAGTCCAATCTTCAGCAGCACAGAGGGTTGGTTAACTTATCCTGGTTGTGAAATTAAATGCTGAATTTACAAAGTTATGTGCCAGTAAGCTATTTTGCTGTCTCACATTTTGGATTTGCAAACTTGTGTTTTGTGAAACCTCATTTTTTTTAATGTAGAACAAAGACATGTGATGTACATGTGTAGTCTATAAACAAGCAGTGTTCAGCTGTCCCATGGATAACGTGCCTGTCGTGCTGCTGCTGAGAGCTCAGGGGTGGTAGTGCCTCATTTGCAGTGCAGATTCTGATGCAGAAAGACTTAACACACTACAGGTTTTGTGTCGTGTGTCACTGGTGATATCGTGACAGGTTGCTTTTTCCACTGCTCTGTTTTGTCTGCAGAGGAAATGTTCACTTACAGCTCCTCATGTGCTCCAGACCCCTGTGTTAGTCTGATCTGACCATGTGCTGCTGTTATTTTTCTCTTGCCTTAGTGACTTTGCCCCTTTCCTTGCTGGCACGTTTCAGCAATGAGCTCAGTGCTATTGCAAAGATGAGCACTTTTTGTCTGTTGCAAAATGACCAAAAGCCAGGACACAGCACAAGGATTGCTCCCAAACACCCCTTCTGCATCTCTGCGTGGGTATTGCCAGCCTGATCCCTCACCCTGTGCTTTGCAGACAGCACTGCCTGTAGAAGGATGCCTTGCAGACCTTGCTGAGCAGTTCTAAAAAGGGAAAGCTGCAAGGGAAGTGCTTTATTATTTAATATGTATGAGTTCCATCTCAGGTGACCCTTTAATAGTGCTGGCACTTGAAAAATAACCCTCATAAGCTCAGGACTGGAGGGATATGGGGGGAAGCAAGGCAGGCTGCTGGCAGGCAGGGTGGAGTCTGTGCTAACCTGCTCTTCATTTGACCTTCACATTTCTGCAGCCTGTGCTGCCACCAGTTGCCTTACAGTCTGTCTGAAAATACATTACATGTTTTCTATGAAATACTTTTGTTGGTGAGTGCTGCTGGGTCGAGGAGTTTCACTTTGCCCCTTTCCTTGCTGACACATTTCAGTCACTTAACTCATCAGCTGCTCTGAAGAACGTTAAGGATGCTTTATGTAAAATAATTCACGACGAATGAAGCTGCTCACAGGGGGAGCACAGGCTGAGAGATGCCTGAGAACACTGTTCTTCCCAGCCATGATCTTGCTGCACTGAACTCCTGTGCCTGAGGATAAGTAGAGCTTATCTCCTTTCCTCCATTCGCCCCTGCTTAACCTTAAAGCATTCCTCTGCAGGGAAGGCAGTATTACTTGCTAGCCCTGTGGACTGCCCTACAGAAGGCACATGAGGGATGCCAGTATTGATGCTTCAGTTTGGTAGATTTCCTTCTCAGAACGCATGACTGAAATGATCCTAATGAGCAATTCCTAATGAACAAAGCAAACGTTTTTACCGTTAAAAGAGGAGGTTTTGAAGGTGGGATGGGACCAGAAACAGAATTACTGCAGCAGCAGCCTGTGGAGCTTAGGATCTCTCAGTATGTGGGCTTTGAGTTGTGCAGTCTTACAGTCAGGACCACGTGCTGTGTGAGCTGCTGCCTGTTTGACCTCCACAGGTCACTTTGGGACAGGCCTTGCTTTAAAGGAGTGCTGCTGAAGAAAGGTGAGGTGAAGCAGTCACAAATGTGTGGCACTCACAGCAGTGCCCTCTTTGTTTGCTGAGGATGGCAAAGACCATTGTCTCAAGGCACAAAGCTTGCTGTGCAAATCTCTGCCTCCAGACTTCTCCCCAGCACAGCTTTGCAGTGTTTGCACTCGTGTGAGCACTGCACAGTTAGGATTAGGTTTGGAAATTAAATATTAATACCTGTCCATTTTTAGATGGCTTAATTATTAGCGCATTCGTGGGAATGCTTTTAAAGTGGTTCAAGGTTAATGCTAATAGTTCTTGAGCCTCAGTGTTACTTTTGAGAAATTTTTGTTAAGATTTTAATGCTGACGAATGGTGCCTTTCCCTAATGGGGTCACCTTCTTAACTGTTAGTTAGTGTCACAATTCTTTCTGCTTTTCTCATTGCCTTTTTGTGTTTTTACTTTGGGGTTCCAGGGGTCCTCGATGCTGTTGGTAAAGAGAAGGAGGAAAATGTCTCCACATTGCAAGCTGTGAGATTCTGGTAGGAAACACTGTTCCTCTGAATAACGGAGGACTGATTGTAGTGCTGTGCATCGTTTCTGAATGTTTTCTTGTCATTTGTAGGCTGAATGTATTTGATGTGTCCATTTACAAAAGCGCAGTTCATCCGGATTCCTTGCAGCAGTTTTTTAGACACACCCTGACTGAGATTCTTACCTACAACCCACTGTTGAAAGGTAGGAATAGTTGGGGAGCAAGAAGTGTCTCTGGGTTTGCTGTGGGTCAGGAGCTCTATCCCAGCCAGTGCCTGAGTGATCTCCAGCCTGGAAAGCAGGGCGCAGTGATGCTGTCTCACTGCCCGGTTCTTCCCTACCCACACAGTGCCAAAGAAGATGAAAGGTTCATCTGGACTCTGGGCTTCAGAGGGCTGTAGTTCAGGAGGAAACTTTAGGTGGAAAATCAGCAGCTCCAGGCAGAGCTTCAGCCAAAAGCTCATGTGGAGTGCTGGGGGAAACATCTGCCACAGCCTTTGTGGAGCAGACGTGGGAGAGCTGTGGCCTCTGGGAATAGTTTTGACCAAAGGAGAAGCTGGATGGGAAAGCTGGCACTGCTTGGGGCTGAAATCCTGCGTCCATGTAGGTGTTGCTTTAAGCACCCACCATAGCTTTCCTCTGCTCACAGGGTGTCTGTCATTCACTTCATTTTGGTAGATCAGTTATGAATGCGGGAAGCTTCCGTCCATGATTGCTAATTGCAAAGTTAGATGTCTTTGAGGAGAAATTACTTCGGGGCTGCAAATCTCTGGTGAAATATTATCACTCCAAGCTACAATCTAGAGCTCCTTACAGGTAGTATGGAAGAGCTGGTCATTGTTGCTGGCTTCCAGTTGAAAGAGATCTTTGAGGAAAAAGATGGTTCCTTGCTCGTTCTCTCTGCATGCATTATGCTGGTTGGTGAATGTGTGATCCCAAGAAGAGCTCAGTGCTGTAGTGAGATGACAGAGTCCATCTTCATGTAGTTTGTATTCCAAAGATGAACGGGAAAGAAAGGGTTTCAGCAGGGAGTTTTTAGTGTTTGTGACTGTGAAAGCTAAAGGGGAATCTTGTGTGGTGAAGTTCTGTGTTGTAGACATTTTTAAAATTCTATTGCTGAAGAGACAACTATTAACGTGCTCTTTTTTTCTGGGTACAGTGTCTGATGCCATCCACAAGCAGAGAGAGTGGAGCTTTACAAGGACGTGTTCGCTGCTCACTACCTTGTACCGCAAAGTAGGTCCTCCTGGTTTTGCAGAGAGAACATTACTGTGTTCATCCTGTGTTCATTAAAATATCTGGAATGGGATTATTTAAAAATAGTGCACTGCAGAATCTGAAGCAGCTGCCAGGAGCTGCAAGCAGGACGAAGCTTGAAGAGAAAATAAGACTGGAATTTTTGTTTGTGCAGCGATTCTAATGAGTACAAAGATAATAACTGAAGGTGTAAATTTGCACCATTACAGAATATGACATTGCTTCTGAAAGAGTTGGAATACACCTGTGTGTTTTAGCCATTGCTGGTTCCAAGCCAGAATACTAAGTCTGGCCCTGGAAAGCTGATGCAAAAGGTGCACAGAAGATAGCTTTTGCAAAGGGCATCCACATGTTCATCTTGACAGCGTTGCTTTCATTCTCTTCCAGCTGTTTGTGGCATTCAGTGCAAAAGAGTCGGTCTGCCAGCTGCAGCGAGTGCTGGAGACACATGAAGTGAATTGGCAGCATGTCCTGTCCTGTGTTTCCACACTGGTGGTCTGTCAGGCTGAGGCTGAGCAGTTGTTCAAAGGTAAGTGGGTACTGGCAAGCCTGCAGGCTGGCACGTGCCTCTTGCTTCTCAGGTACTGAAGGAGGAAACCATCCCGAGTGGTGCAGTAGCAAGTTCATAACTTCTGCTTTGATATTTCTGTAGGGGAAAGAACCACAGGAACTCACCCTCTCCATTCAGGTGTTCTGTGCCAGCTGTGATGTGATACCAGGCGTTGTGCCTGATGCTTCCCTAATTTAGTGTACAGCTAAGAATGACTGTTTAATAATTACTTTGATGATGATGTGGTGTAGTGATTACTTAATTCTTCTTAATTCTTCTATCTTACCTTTGCTGTTAGAGTGTCTTACTGATTATGTCATTGCTGGGCTCCCTATAGTTCTTGCAAGTTGAAATGCTGGAGTATTTGACCACTGAAAAAATATAAATGAGTCTCTAATGCACGATCCTTTGGGGCAGATGTTTCAGTAGATGTTTGTCTTAATTTAGTCTACCGTAGCTCAGTTGTACACAGCAAAGGTTGAGGTTACTGTTTTATGTTTCTAGATCTACTGAGCCATCTCCTGATAAAGGCCTTTGAGAATTATGATATGGAAAATATGATCACTGCATTTCTGATAGCCCGTCAGGCTGCCCTCGAGGGCCCTGCTGTGTTCATGCCTTACTCTGAGTGGTTTAAGGTAAGACTGAATAAGACCCGGCTGGTAATCTTTAAGTATGTGAGAAACCTGTGCATAAGGAATGCTTTTCTGCACAAAAATAAATAAATCAATAAATAAAAAGCCTGGTTTCAGACTAGATCACCAGGAATTTAAAGCCAAAACAAACAGAAGGAAAAACCCAACGAAGTAACAAGTGATTGTATTGGTATTAGGAAAAATGTAATATTTATTATTGCCTTTGTGTCTGCAAAGAATATATTCATTTGGCTTTCTCTGGTCCTCCCTCCTTTCATCTTTCAAGTACATCTTGCCTTCTCTAGTTATTTGTCAGGAATGCAGACATGTAAATTCTGTTATAATCATAATCTTGGATACGTTTCAGTATCTTGATAACCAACAGAGTTATGATTGCATAATTTGTGGGTTATTGCACATGAAGCATTCCTATTTCCTGGATGTTTGCATGCAGCTGTAATTGGTGTGTTTGACCTTATAGATAATTGGTAATTAGCTTTTGGTTGTAAACACATAGGTATTTTGGGTATGCAAATCTCCATAATAAAGTGTTCAGGATGTAACTAGTTTACCTTCTGAAATATTTGGTATAGGCTGACTGGCTTACTTTTCCTGTAGTGCCCAGATAAACCTCCAACAACGTGTTTTCCAGATGAATCTCAGTCCTTTGGTGCACTTTGTTGTTGCCTTGTCTAAGTCTTCTGAGCGTTCCTGTGGTAGCACATGAGAATGAACTTTCAGCTTGAAATGGAAACTGGAGAAAGAAACTCAGAAACTTCTGTAGAGACTTCTGTAAACTTTCTTTGCAGTCTTTTCTGCAGAAAGATTCTGTTGATGCAAAGTAGATGTCTGTAAGAGATATGTGGGATTTGTGCAGTGGGTGCTGGGATGCTGATTCTTTCCAAACTGAAAGGCTCTGTTGTCACTTGCTCTATTTCAGGCCTCCTTTGGGAATGCTAGCAGCCACCATGGGAGCAGTAAGAAAGCTCTGGTCTTCCTCTTTGAGTTCTTATCAGAGCTAGTGCCCTTTGAAGTAGCCCCATACTTAAAGGTGAGAAGCTGCTGGTTGTCTAAAGATGGCTACAGAGCTGCTCCAGAATGAACAAACTTGTGGTGTGTGCCTTTGAGCATATTCCTCGTGTTGTTAGAAGCAATTGCATTATTGCCAATACACTATGCAAAACCTTTTCTCCCTGCAATAAACAAGATTCTTTTATTTCCTCGAGAAGAAGATAATCCCTTTTGTGAAGTTATATTTAAGCGACCGAGTGCTGAATTTACTTCTTGTTGTTGGGGGAAAATTGCACGTCAGTTGCTGTGAAAATGTCTTAAAACAAGCAATAATGTCTTCTTTGGGGGATGTTTGAGGTAATCGAGAGGAAAAGTTAACTAGAGTTTTACTGCTGCTTCCTGTAAAAATGGCAAACCTTGTTCTGAATTTTGCATGTCAGGTCCATATAATGTACCCACCTTTTGTGCCAACAAAACATCGCTCCGTTCTCTTGGAGTACATCACTCTGGCTAAAACCAGACTGGCTGACCTCAAGGTTAGTAAAAACTGTCCCTTTGGAAAGATATCCTTCTAGATCTGTCAAAACATGAGCTGTGCAGTGACAGTGCCCATGTCTGTGTAACCTCATGCAGGTTGCTATTGAAGATATGGGACTCTATGAAGACTTGTCTTCCGCACATGAATCCATGCAGGTACTGGTGATCTGTCCAACCTTCTTCTCATCTGTTATGTTCTTATTTTCTCTGGAGGTGTGAGGTATCAATCTGCCATTCCTACTGAGTTTGAGCATGCTGCTAAATCTTTTCCATCTCGAGACAGAGGAATTAAAGGTCATAAATATGGAAACTTACCCTGGATTTCATGAAAATTAGACCTGTGCAGAGGACAGATGGACACTGATGAGTGTTCCCAAAGTCAGGCTCCAGAGGAACTCGACAATTAGCCAGCTAGTTAGTGGCCAAGCAGAAGCTAAATCAGCCACCTAGTCAGCATGTGCTGTTTGAAGCCAGGCAAGTGCTGGCTACTTCTTGCCCATCCTGTTTGGTGAGATGTGGAAAATAATGGCAAATTCTGTTGGTAGGAATTCAAGGAAAAAAGGATAATCTAATGGTGCTGTATGGTGTGAGGAAATGAGGTTATTGAGACTGGGAGATACAGAGACACAAGTCTTTAGGATCTGGGTCTCTGTTGGCTCTGCTGGTAGAACAACTTTTCTGTTTGGTGGGTGAGAAACTGGTGCAGGTTGTTAAGACGTCTCCTGGCTTGAACAAAAGAAACCTGGGACAGCAGTCATCCTGCCTGGAGTGCAGTTCTAGCAGCAGAGGCTGGCAGTGAAGAATATGAGTCTTAATTCCAAGTGTATGAGTAGAAGAGAATAACAGTAAAATTTGGAACAGAAAAAGTATCATCCCTGTGAGGGAGCATTGAATAAATAATGTTGTGTTGAACAGGAATACCTGCTACAGTCAGTGCAGGAGTTGGGCAGAGCTGCGTGGACCTTTGGGCTGACACAGAAGAGCTGTTACACATTACAGCCTTTTTGTGGCAGGCTGATGGCCCAGGACCAGGTTTCTCTGTCCTGCAGTTTTACACCACTTATCAAGTAGTTCTGGTTGTTCAGTTGTGCTTGGTTCAGTCACTTCCCTTCACAGCACAGACAACTATTAGTAACTCTGAATGAACGAGCAGGGAAGATTATCACCATCCTTGACTTCTCACGGTATCTTTCTCCCTTTGTTTCTTGTGTGAGCCAGCCCCAGGGCCAGGCACTTCGTGATGTCGAAAAAGCCCTTCAGATATTTGAAAACACAAGGAAGATCCCAACATCGGTGATAGAAGCCAGGTATCACGTGCTTCTCAACTCTTCTTGTCTTCAATAATAAGGGGGGGAAAAAAAAAGCCAAATCCAAATCAAAATGACAATACAAGAAAAAATGAGGAAGTCAGCAATGGAGGATTTGGTAAATTCTTTCCATGTTACTCATTTCCTCAGTAGTCATCTAAATTGAGGCAATTTCTGCAGAGGATAAGGAGGCACGCCAGCAAGAGAAGTCCACAATTACCAGAACGAACAAAACCAAAAATTTGGTAACCTGATTTGTTTGTGGTTTTTCTGTTTGCGGGAACCAGCTTCATTTCTGACATAATGAAATGGCACTGCACAGCTTTGGCTGTTAACATTTTGTTTTCTGCCTCAGTATTTTCAGGCGACCCTATTATACTTCCTGGTTTCTTCCTGCTCTGCTCAGGCCACGTGTGGTTAGTGCTTATTTCTTTCTCTGGACCCTCCTGCTTAGCAGTCTGTTTGTAGAGAGGTGACTTGCACCTAACCTGCCTGCCTTTCTGTTGCAGCTCCCTAAAAGCCCGGATGCACGCATGGCCTTCATAGATTCCTTAAAAAGGTATTGAGGCTCCCCAGTATTGTGTCCTGAGCTTCTGGACTTTGTCTTCTGAACACCAGATTACTGGAAGTTTTACACCTTGTTTACAAAATTGGCCAACCCTTCTGGCAGAGCTTCGTGGCCAGACTCGTTTGTGGCTTGCAGGATGTGGAAGGAGTAGCTTTTCTGTGTGGATAAACGTCTTCAGTTCTGTAATTAGCCCAATAGCTGCTCTAAAACCATGATCTGGAAGGAGTCCCACGTAGCCCTTTGCCTGCAGGCCAGACACATTTTCATGCCAACTTTGGAAAATGCTGCTGAACATAAAATTTCAATAGGAAGACGACCCCCCCTGCAAACAGCTCTGCTCTCTTTGGGGAGGGGATATGGGAGAAGGGGAGGATGAAAGCTGAGTGTATGGTGATGCTTCTTGAGCTGTTCTTAAGAGACAGCAGGGTAATGTCTCAGGAGATGGCAGCCCCTCTCAGAACTCAAACCCATCCTGTGTGCATGCTTAAATGCACTGTTCTGCCTTGCAGAAAGCTTTATTTTACACCCAGTAATTCCTCTGTAACCTAACATGGAGAGAGAATGTTCACAATGCTGCCTACAAATGAGACATTCAGTCCTGCCTTGTAATTCCAGTTTGAAAAAAAAAAAAAAAAAAAAGTTGAATCTTTTTAAAAATTAAAGTTGTAAGAGAAGCTGCGAAGTTCTTCTGCCTGCCCAGCAGGTGTTGGAGGTTGGACTTGGATCTCCATCACAGTAACATCTGAGATGTGGGAATACTTCATGTCACATAACTTAGACTCCTGCAGAGTCTAAGCCCTACAGATCTCAGACATCTACAGTATGTGAAATAGGTATTAATGTGTGTGTGCTGTCTGTAGTACTGTTTTGGGGCAGTGTGTGTTACACTTGCATAATACTGCCAAAGCCTTGGAAATACATTTCTGGCCCTCGTGTCAGCAGATGATTAAAAGAAATGCTTCAGATGCTTTGGAGCCTCTAATTATGCTTCACAGCAAAGCTGTTCCTTATGCTTGAATTAATAAAGATGAAGGTTGAATGTGATTATGTCATATACTAAATGTCTTTTTTTGTTGTGATTTTAGAGCTGACAAAATACCCTCCAACTTGTACTGCACATACATACAAGCCTGTCGTGCGAGGAAGGAGAAAATGTTACAAGGTAAAACACCAAAAAATTTCCTTACATTACAGGGTAATGTCTCAGGAGATGGCAGCCCTTTGCAGAACTGTTCATATTTGTGTTGATGCTCTCATGCATTGGAAAATTTTCAACACGTGGCTGCTGGTTGTCCTTCTGTGTAAATGTGTGCGTGCTCTTTGTGTCACTGAGCCATGAAATGGTTGCTGCCTTAGTGGTTTCCCCTGCCTGTCCTGCCCAGGTGGGATCTCTGCAGTCTGCATGCAGCTCTGTGCAGTGCTGAGGCTGCAGACAAGACCTGAGCTGGCTGATTTAATTCCAGTTCCAGCACAGCGCTGTGAATCAGCGTTTGCAGCTTGGAGGCTTCTCTGCTGTGCCCATCCCTCAGTGGCACTGCTGCTGCCTGGCCTCACCGTTGTCCCCTGCACTGCTGTATGTGACATACAGCATATGCAGAGGTGGGAGCCATGTAATACAGCTCCCATGGCTGCAGCCCAATTGCTGGTACAGGAGGTGTTTAATGAACAATCCTATCTTTCAGCAAGCGCCTTTTTCAATCGCTTGCATCTCCGACTGGGCAACATCTCCAGCACAGGCTTATACCAGATTCTTCCAGGAGCATAGTGGTGCCCCTGTTCTCTGCGATGGGCTGCTGCCCTGCGTGCTCGGCCGTCTGAAGCCTCCTGGAGATGCCGTAGCTCTGAGCCGTGACCGAGCGGTCCTGTTCGACCGCAGACGTACAGCATTCTGCCCGCGGGGGTTGTCCTGGCAACGGCAGAGCTGAGGAATGGCTTCGTGCGGCACCGGCAGCATCCCGCTGGGCTGCGGGAGCCGCTGCGTCTCCAGTGACCCCTAGCGGTCCGTCCCGCTCCGTGCGCTGCGCTGCGCTGCCCCGCTGCCCCCCGCCTCCCCGGCAGCCTGCGGGGCTCCGGCACCGACCCAGCATTGAGGACGCTTGGCTCTAAGCCTGCCCTGTTTGCCCGTCCCTGCTCGCAGGGGTGACGCAGCGCCGCTCACACCTCGTTGCAGCAGGGAGGCTGTAACGATTCGGCGTTAGCCTTGCTCGTTTCTCTCGATGGTGGGTGAGCCGTCCTGCCCCAGGCGCGGCGCTGTGCTGCCTCTGACCAGCTGCACCGCGGGGTTATGGCTCTGTTTGTGGTGGGAAAAGCTGTTCCTTTCATTTTCTTTTAAACAAACGCCGTGGTTCCGTGTGACGTCTGAAGACCTGACGTGGGGTTGGGGTTGGGGAGGGAGAATCTGATGATGTGAGATGTTTGCATTGCAGCGTTTCCTTCTGTGTTTTGAAATTCCAGTTCCAGGCTTTAGAGGACAGCAGATGTTTCTGTGTGGGGCAAATGGCAAATGGAATGGAAACTGAAAGGAGACATCTTTTGTTGTTTTTGTCTTTGTAAAGTGAATTCTGTTCTGAAGTTAGGTGTAAACGCATAAATGATTAATCAAACAGCATATTTTGAGTGTAAAAACAAGGCTGTGTGTGTGGCAGGCTGATGGTTTTTTGGGGGGGCATCTGTTACAATTATAGGAAAACATAAATAATGACTTTTGCAGAAAAGGAATGCAGAGGCTGCTGAATACGTTTTATAAACCAACTCAGTGCACTAAGAATAATGTAAGAATTGTAAAAACGTAAGAGTGATGAGCTGCACTTCCCTCTTGTTTCTTCAGATGAATCCCAAGTGGGATCCAGCCATTCCAAAGAGCCTGCTGAGCACCTGAAGGCTGAGCTGGCTGCACTGAGGGTGCTGATTGGAGACCAGGCTAAACACGAAGGTATGGAAGAAGTTATAATTACCTCCAATTGACTGCTGTATTCATAAAACATGGCTAAAGCTAGCCAAAGCAACAGTAGTAGTTACTTCCCACTGGTGCTTGAAGACTTAGTCTTTCAGATCAGTATAATCCAGCTATAAATATGTATTTTTCGTGTTTGAGTTGGGAACTTCAGGTCTGCATCTTTGTGATGACTGCTCAGCACTGCTCACATCTTTGCCACGATGGGCAGCTCTGTTCCTGGAGCTTGCCTTGACTCAACCCCCCACCTTCTGAAGGCTGTTTTCCTTTTTTTGTTTGTTTGTAATAGTACTGTGGAAAAAAATAATGATGTCTTCTAAAATGAAGATGGTTGCTGTGTTCCAGCTAATATTTTTTGCTCATTACAGCTTTTCATAGCATACTTTGGGTTCTGATCAATTAGGGTACGTCTCACTTGTTCTGTTTCATGTAGAGTTATAAATCTTTCATGCCCTCTGTCCTGCCTCTCCTCTTCTCCTGTTACTCTCTCCCAGATGTGCCAGCACAGATTGCAGTCATTTCTGACAGACTCTCCAGTGTGTTGGGTCACAACAGTGATGAGAATGAAGCTGCCACTCTGAATTCCCGAATCCAAGTTAATGTTTCTGAGCCCAGTCTGGAACCCTGTCATCAGAGTGTGAGTACCATCCCTTCGAGATGAGAAATGGTGCACTGGGCAGGCACAGCTGGATGGTATTTGTGAAAGGCTGCTTTATCTGCAGCAAACTGCAAATACACTTCTCCTTTTGTCTACTTTGTAACGCCCTGCAAAGACTATGCCTATGTTTTAACCTCCTGGAAGTCACTGGATGTCTGGTGGAGAGATCTAAAAATATGTTCTATTGGACCAAGCCTGTGATGAGCTAGGTTTTCTTCACCAGATCTGCCTAGATACTTGCTGTATGTTGGGATTATTCCTGGGCTGTGGTGGGCTTAACTTTCCATCTCCTATTAGTGCCAGTGGATCTATAAAACTTGGGGAAACATAATATATACAGAGCACAATTAGATCTAGTTATCCAGCTCGGCAAGGAGGCAATAGCAGTGTCTCTTATTCCAGGTTGTTGACCTTCTACTGACATCTTTCTGCCAGAACCTGATTGCTGCTTCCTATTTTAACCCTCCTGACAGGTAAGATGCAAGTAGGAAAATGGAAATTGAGTAATACAGTGTAATTCCAGCATTTGTCCAGAGGCCAGGAGGGGCTTCTGTTCATATCCACAGTGCTAGTCTGGCAATTGCAAGCTGCTTTATTCTGAATTGCTGTGAACTAAGAACTAATGAGCTTTGATGTATAAGAGTAAATGAAATGTTTCTCCTCAGTTGTTACTGATCTCTTCAGAAAAGTGGCATTTGCCTCTGCTTCAGCTCCACCACAGTGCATTAAAACACTCCACCAATACTGTGTGCTGAGGCTGGTGCTGTCAGCTCAGTGCTGAGGTACAAAGCACATTCTTTTTTCCTTCTGTCCAGGAATTACTTGCTGGCTGGCACTAAAGATGAGGAGGAGAATGCCTGTCTGCTGACAGGGTGCTCACGGGTGTATTTTTGGCACATTCAGTATTTTGCAGATCCAGGCACCTCAGCCTTTGTCCCTAATGCCATATCTAATGTGAAACGTATGAGACATTAGAGCTATGGGCAAAGAAAGAGCAGCATAATACACCTCTCTGCCTTAGTTCTCTTCTTCCCCCTGGAACTGACTGAGTTTCATTCTGCCCTATGTGAGGGAGGAGAGGTGGCACACATCCTCCATTGCTGCCCTGCTTTGGAAGGACTCTGTTAATGCCATCTCCTTCACGATGTGACAGAAGACTGTCAATGTTACAATCAACATCTCAGTGGAAAAATACTCTGGAGGACACCAATGTACTGACAGAATGTCTGGGATCCCCACTGCTGGCAGTGCTGTGCTGGGTGGCTGCTTCTTTTGGAGCACAGCATGCTTTGGCAACCAGTGCATCTTTGCCTCTCTTCTGCACTGTTTTGCTGTGGTGACACAGGAGTAGGCAAACCTGTTTGAAAGCCTGTATGGAAAGGAGCTGTGATGAACAAGAGCTTTCCAGAAGTTTTTTTCGAAAGCTATCCTCCCAGCCAATATTCTCTGAAATTGGTTTGTTTTCTATCAGCTAAGCAGGAATGCCCCATAGGAAAGCCCCTCCCTTCCTCTGTTTTTTAAGAAGGAGTCCATCCTATTCTCCTTTACTCTTCTTTTGTGTTACGTTTCTGCTTATTGCTCTGCCTCTGCTCCTCTATGCTAGCCATCTGAAACAGGCATCTGTGCCCCAGGGAGCTTCCTCCTCTCCTTGATGTTGTTTCAGAACTCTTCTTTGATTACATATTGTCAATTATTTGAGGCAGGGTACTGCTTGAGATCATGCCTTTGTAGGGGTCCTCAGTTCAGATGCTCTAAAAATGACACTTCCCTTGAGCCTTTAAAAAGAATGGTGATTATCTTGTACTTACGGGCAATTCAGCTCAGATTCATTGTGTTTAACCATTAGAAAACCCCAAACACTTCCTCTGCTGGGGATAAAAAAGACAAACAGTAAAATGTTGATGTTGTTTTTACCTTCTGCAGGCAGGGGCCATGTCTCTCCTTGTTTGTGAAGATGATATGTGGACATAGGAGTCTCATACCTGCCCTCCTGAGGAGGCTCTGCCAGCTTATTTATCACCAGGTTAGTTTTCCAGACAAAAATCCTATGGTTATAGAGTGCTAAAGGTATCCTGGCTCCATTTCCTGAGCTGCAGGGCATATACCTGTCTGGACTGCACAATGAAGGATCTTCACTGGCTTTCAGGCTTCCAAAGATTCTCATTACAAAAAAATAGCCTGGGCTTGCTCTCAGGAATGCAGGTGGAATGTTTTCCTGCAGAAGTGCTGCTGTGGTATGGTAATTCATTCTGAGATAGGAACACGTTTACTTTAACTGGTGCCTCTCAGCTGCTAAATTGTTATAATTGCAGCGAATCGGTCAGTGGATAGGTGCAGTGTTCCTCTACTTGATTCATGGAGATTTTCCTGCAAATAGCTGTTTTGTTACAAATGGAACACATCTATTTCTCCAGTTCATTGTTTTTGTTTGTCTTGCAGGGTCCTTCCCTGAACGATGCTCATATTTTAGGACTAGCTGCTTTTATGATCCATTTATGTGAATCCAGATCTTTAATTCCTGAAATAGAAGCTGACTTTGGGATTTCTCAGCCTGTTGCTGAAAAGGTCCTTTCCATTTCTGAGTTCTGGAGCTGCTTGCTGGTGTGCAGCACGGAGGAGTCGCTTTCCTTCTGCACAAGGTGAGCTGATACCTGCCCCGTGTTCCTGACTCCCAGCAATGGCTTAGGTTTGGCACAGGAAGGATGCTGGGAAAGCTCCTGTTTTTCTGTGGAGGATTTCCTGAGCATATGTGGGTGTATGCACTGCACAGAGGGGCTTCCCAGACAGGCTGATGGTGGCCCCACATGACGTAGCATCGTGCTGACTGAAGCTTGCCGAAGAAATGACTGAGTGGATGCTGTCAAAAGCTTCAACTTAGTTGCTGGTTCTAAAATTTGGGCCACATTTGCATTTGGATGCACCCACATAGAAATGGTCTCAAAAGTAAGCAGGTTTTGAACATGTTGGTTCAAACCATTTTTAACGCTCAGTCTTTGTTTTGACTTTGGACGTCTGTGATTGGGAAAAGATGTGATCGAACCAACCTGATAACCAACCTTTCTCTTTCTTAATCAGGTTCTGCACAGCAGCAGTATCTTATCTACTGTGCAAGTTTCCATCCTTTTCTTGTGACGCTTTATGTGCCTTGGTTCCTCCTAGTCTTGTTAAAAAGGTAAAAAGAAAAAAGAAACGCATTGCTTGCGAGAAAAATCAGTTTCAGTTCAGTTTCTGACTGCAGACTCCTGTGGAGCTGTAACTTTTACAAAGAAAACTATCAAAGTCCATCTTGGTAGCCTCCCGCCTTGCCATTTTGTGCGTTTGGCAGCTTCACACAGAGGCTGCACTGAGCCCTTCTTGGAAACATGCATTGTTTTTCTGTCTGTTTCAGTTGCAGTACATTGTGCCACGGCTAAGCTTGGAAGCTCGGGGAATCCCAAGCAAGGAGGATAAGGCTGATCTTGGCTGGAGTTCCCTGACCTGCCCTTCTCTAAACTACAGAAGAGCCAGCCTCTGTTTATGGAAGCAAGCACGATTTCAAGAGCTTTTGAAGGAAAAAGCATTCCAGGTATAAATCTTTTCACGGCTTAAGTTCACATTGGGATTCTCATTTTTCAGCTCTGCCCTTTACAGTTTCCTTATTGCTGATAAAGCTGCATATACAAACTTAGCACCTGAGAAGGTGCTAAGGAAGGACGGCTGGATGACGTTGTATGCAGTCGGTCACACACTCAGTGTTGTCTGTAGATTTTAGTGCTGATGATAAGGCAGAAATAGAAAACTAGAAGTGAAGATTCCGTGTCTTGTTTACTGTCAAAACCACAAGGTTTGATGCAGTATACAATATCAATAAGAAAATTATCAGGAACAGGAGAGAAAAAGCCTTCCCTTCCCACTTGTACTGTCTACAAAGTGAGCTGAGCCAGCTTTCACATTCTGACCTGTCAGAGGGGTGTGCTTGTGTGTCACTGAGATGCTTTTTACAGACTTGCTTTCAGGTAACCAATTTTGTAGGTTTTAGTAGGTCTTCAATTTAGATTTTTTTGCAGAGGAAATTGTTCTGGAACTTCCTTGGCTTCGTGCCTCCAGTTTAATCTCTCTTAATCTGTACTGGATTGATCTGGGTGTGATCTGCTATCTAAATTGCTTTTTTCCTCCAGTTATCTTTCAGAGAGTGGCTGCTGTTGGAACTAGAGGTGCACCCTGAAAAGGATGTTCTTTCTGCTTCAGAAAGGTAACCACAGAGGTGCTCTCTTAAAATGGGGCTACTTCAAGATCCTTCCCCACTCAAATTAGGAAAAAGCATTTAATGTTAGGAGATTAACAACAGAGTAAATAAGCAAGATTCTGTGGGACACAAATGCCTGTTGTCTACTACAGGCTAAAGCAATGAATTACAAAGCTCAAGCAACACTGGGGTGAGATGTGTTTTAACTTGAGAAGTTCACCAATATGTCCTTTAGCCTCCATATACAGTCCTTCCAAGTGATTTCCCAGCAGCCAGAGAGAGTTCACATCTGGTCATGCAGTGTTCTGGTATAGCACTTAACTTGGTGGATGAGCTTCCTTCTACATTAAGGTTAAAAAACAATATTCTATTACAGCATTTGAAGTTTCTTTACCTTCTTTTCAATACTGCAGGCAGGACTTCCATTACTGGGCTATCTATCAGTGGTATCTTCCAGCACCTTCTGCTTCTGGTGGCTGTGATGGAGACCTGGAAAAGGCATGTGGCACCATTATCGATTGCATTCTGGATTTCTCACAAAGGTATTCTGTATCACAACTTGCATTTCCACAGGAGCAATGGTTCTGCTAATGACCAGGCAAACTAGGAGCTGTCAGCTTGTGTCTTACATGGGGACATATTTTCCCCATGGTGGAAGCAAATTCCCTTCTTACAGGTCTGGCTGCAAATGAAGGCTGGGAGGTGGCTCTGTGTGACTCACTGGTCTTTGCATAGGAATCTTGCTTTAGGTGACAGAGGTCTGGATCTGAAATCACAGATAGAGTCTGTAGTCTGTGTGTCTCTTTTAAGTTGAGTTTGTTTTCGGATTTGTTTGGCCAGACAAGCGTCAGTGCCTTTGGGGAAATGGCTGAAGCTAGAAAATAAGAAAGGAGGGTTAGAGGAGAGTTGCTGTCTCATCTACAGCTTACTTAAAGAACATTAATGTTAGAGCTTTGTGTGAAGCCATTTGATATTATGTGAATTATGTTCTCCTGGGTGAACAGGGGTAGCTACCCGGTGTGTCTCTGAATTTCAGGTTGGAGCTGGGTAGCTGTGGCCAACTGAAGTCAGTCAGTTCTGATATTCTTTGCAAGTTGCAGGTGAGTTCAGGTTTTGAAGTGCATCTGTGTCCTTGAGTTTGGCCTAAGATTTTTCTATTATGTCAGGTACAGAAGACTGACATGCAGTTCTCAGATGTGAGCAATGGCATGGAAATAGAGATATTGATCTCTGTGTATTACTTTGGAGAACCATTTGAATGCAGCCCTGACAAACATTGTTTTCCCTCTTGCCCTGCCTTATTTAGGAGATGGTACTCGAGCTGGGATGTAGGCGAAGGCCACTTTCAGGCTGCTTGGCTGCCAAGAGACACTTCTTGTTTGAGATTCTCCAGGAAAGGCTGAAAGACAGACACCATGGTTCTGCTTTGGGTGAACAGCTTTGGAGGCAGCAGGAGCTGCTGCTGCACAGAAGGTAAATGCAGACCTGAATGGCTGGGAATGCCTTAAACAAATGTGTTGTTGTGTACGTGTGCAGCTGGGTAACCTCCCTTCAGAGCACAAAGCACATGAAAATAAATGACACTATGCATCCTGGTAGCAAACGTGCAAGAGATACTTATTCCCAAGCACCCACGTGGTTGAAATGCTTCTGTGTGCCATCTTGGGCCTTAAGTTATCCCTTTAGATGGACTGGATTTCCATGGCCAACACATATTTGTGGACTCTGTTTATAGCCAGCAACACTCCTAATGCCACCACCTGCATTAATCATCCTTATATTGCTGCTCTGAGATAAGCATGCATTTCCATTTTTGAGCCACTGAAGGTATCTTTGAAAGTGATCTGTGTATCTCACTGAAATGCAGGTTCTTTTCTGGGCAACTGTAAAAATTCCTTGTATGATTTCTGTCCAGATGTTTGGGATTGTTGTGTTTGACATGCTCACAAACTGCCCCAAAGTTATGTGCTCTGAGAACCCGGACTCAGATCTTGATGACAGCTTTGATTTTGTTTTTCTCTTCCCTGCCTAAGGATTCTGGTGGGGCTCCCTGCATCCACTCTGATCGTGACTTGTCGAAAAGGAAAGAAAACTCTGTTGGACTGTGAAGATTTTTTTCATTATGTGAACTCAGAGCTGGTATGTGTGTTTAGCCAGATAATTGTTTCTTGTAGGTAAATGCTCCAGCTAGAGACCTTAAGCTCACGCTTAGGACAGAAGTTAAGATGCAGCCAACTTAACATATATCAGAATGTGGGGAATTTCAGCTTCAAAAACATCTCTGTAGTTTTCTGAGATCTTGCAGAGCATTATTCATGCTCAGGATAGTTATCATTTCTATTTATTCATCCTGATGGACAGCATTTTCAAGCCCTGAGGCACAGCCAGATACTGCTACTCATTCTGAGGCCATTAGTCAAACTGCTTCTGCTGTGCACAGCAAGCAGGGCCATCTGATGTGCTGGGACTGTAAAGCTCAATCTAGTCAGTGATGTTGCTTGAGAGAGAAAAGATTTCTGTAACCTGAGCTGATAGCTGGGGTCTCACAGGGTGATTCTGTGCTAATGGAATCTGCTTGAGGAAAACGGTATTTCAGAAAGGAAGGAATGAAACTTTTTCTTTCCTCATTTTGTTGCAGAAGAACATCTGTTCCAGGGGGTATGCACTGCCCTATGGCATCACTGCACACTTCTTCAGGGTAAGTGCTGCCTTTGTCTTTCTGCTCTATTGTCCCTGCCAGCCAGAACAGTTTCCTTGCTGGGATACCTGACTGCATGCTATTCTTAACAGAGATGTGCCACTTGCACACCTGTGTTGAGAATCACTGGTGTAAATTGCAAAAAGCAGAGCAGTAGTCCAGGGAAGTGAAGTGAATTAACAGGAGGAATTAATGGTGGAGACTAATTTTAATGCAATGCAGCAAAGCAGGTGGCAGGAGAAGCTGTTGGGTGTGTGTTTCTTTTGCAGGGCCATGCTGACCCCTACAGTTACCTTTGATTAGTTAACATGTGGGTTTGGGAGGTACTTCAAAGCAGCAAAGACGTAGGGGTGTAGTCATCCTGTGATCTATCCTCACCCAGGGCCTGCTGAATGCCAGCTTGGACTGTGAAGAATCAGCAGAAGGGGTCAACGATGTTCTAACAGTGTGTCAAACCAAGTGTCCCATTGTGCTGCTCTCTGCAGTGGTAACCCTTCATGTTTTGCCCTTATTTTTAACATTAGATGTATATTCTGTGTCTATTTAAAAAGTGCATCTTTTAAACTTCATTTAAGGTAAACTGTGAAGTAAGGGGTAATTCTTAATGCCTTTGGAAAAATGCAGGGTGTTTTAGTATGCCCTCTGATCCCAGCTCTGGACGTGCAGAAGTGGAATGGAGAAACAGAGTTTAAGAGTAAGAAGATAGAAGATAGAAGGGGCTGCTACATGCCAACCCCAAATTCTGTAAAGCACTTTTTTTTTTTTTTCCTCTCCATGTTACCCTTCACACACTGTCTTACTTGGAGGTGGTTGTTTTTGCTGTGTCTTATAAGTACATACATCCCCTTTGTGGAACAGCTGAATTTTGAGCTCCTTGAGGTCCTGCTAGTTGAATTTCAGGGCCCTGTGGTACAAACTGTCATGGATGACCCACTTGGCATTTCCAGGATTTGAAACTTCCTTGTGTTCACTGTGTGTGTGTGTGTGTGTGTGTACGTGTGTGTGTACACTCTTGGGCTTCTACATTAAGGGGAGGAAAAAACCTGTCTCTCACTACCTGACTGAGAAAGCTTGCATATACTACTACAAACATCTACTAGGCATGCCACTGCTAACACTGCTGGTTTCTGGCTTTCTTCCTAGCTCTGGTGGCCACGGTTGGAGCCAGTACTTTGCTCTCAGTGGAAGAGACTCTTTGGTGCTCCACTTCCAGAAGAATTGGAGAGACTGAGGGAATGCCAGTCCTCAGCAATGGGGTATGCATGAGGAACCTGAACACTGATCTGCAGGCAGGAGACCTGCTCTGATGGCCAGGCTTCCTGGAAGTCTGTTCTCTGAGACAGGCTGGATTTCAGCAGGCAGAAAGAAAGAAATGCTAACGTGAGTTGAGGCTTGTAGGACAGCTATAAACAGATTCTTTTGTAGAGTTCAAACTCAGAATAAGTCATTATAATCATTTAGTCTGGCCTTCTGTGTAATATGGGTCAGAGTGTTTCACCATAAGGAAAAGAGAATCTTTTTAGAGGAGACTGGAAGGCAGAATCCTTGTTAGACAAGCACTGGAAATAGCCTTTAGCACACTGTTGAGTCATTTGTTCAATCATCCACACCCTTCACTCCTAGATGTGGTGAATTTCAGATCTCTTGAAATTGCTGATTGCTTCTCAGCAATCCTTTCCTCTCCGTATCATTCCCTGCTGTCTGTTCAGCATCCTGCAGCTTCTCACCTAAAGTTGGAAATTCCATATAAGAATCGTATGGATTATTGCAGGCAATAAGCATGTGATTCTGTAGCATTGTACAGAGATAATTAATTAGCTGCCCAACCTGTGATCAGGGAGATTTTGGGGAGCTACTGGCTGTTGCTTTAATTTTTTTTTTTTTAATTTCTCTGAACAATCTCCACATAGCATTCAACAACAGGGAGAAAGCTGGGGAGAAAAAAATGCTTTTTCTTTGGCCCAATCACAAACTTAAGCACTTTGCCAAGGCTGTTGAATCCCCTCCTCATTTACAGCTACGATTCTTTCTCTCAAACCATGATATGCTGGTTTTGTTTCCTAGCTTCCTTTCTTCAGGACGGGTTTTCCCTCCCTCTGGCCCTCCTTTGATTTCTGCTGCCTTCCTCCATTGCACTGTTCAACAGCACTCATCACGTGGAAGAGAGAGAAATGCACTGAAGAGACTGGGAACTGATACAGAGCAGGCAAGACTGGACTCATTTTAAATGTCTGCTGTTCTCCACGCTCAGAAACTGAAAGTAGAATGCCTTTTCCTGGAATAGCATTTCTCAGTTAGGCCCTGTTGTGAAATCTTGCTGATGGCTTTTTGGTAGAATGTAGCTGTAAATTACCAGTTACTAAATATTTATCCTACAGGCAAAGGTGTTTAAACTTTAAACTTTTCACTCACATACTGACTTCTCTGTGAAGTCACTGAAGATTATTTAAACAGCTGCTCTAAAAAACAGAGAGAGTGCTGCAGAGGAGGAGAGTTTAGCCCATGGCTCTCCAGGATCACTTCTACTGACAAAGGAGAAATCCTAGCTGACTTTCATTCTGGAAACTTGGCAGAAGGGCTAAGGAGATACAGAAAGTGTTTGTGAAACAGGAATGCGTGTATTTTTAAGGGCTGGGAATCCCAGGAATGGAGATTTTCAATTCTGCATCTGCCATTTCACCCTCTGTGCACTGGAATTCCCTGAAGCCTTCTGCTGAGAAGGAAGCTGGGCTGCTGTCCTGGCAGCTGTGTGTGTTTATCTAGAGGAGATAGCAGGGACCAAACCTCAGAATGGGGAGTGTCTATATTGAGAAATTCACAGGTAAATCTTGTTTATGCAGAACCTGTGCCTTATGACTTACTGTGAAGTTTTAATCCCTGGGGCAAGAGTTGTGGTAGCAGCTCTTCTTGCTGTGGGATCAAATCCACCATTGTTTATACTGCTCTAGAGCCAAAAACTGTTAATCAGAAGCTGATCTCACCAAGGTGATACATGCATTTAGTACAGGTGAAATGATGACAACTTTGATCTTTAAAAATCTGCCTTAAGAAAGGAGGAGGACACTGGGAAGACCTGAAGCGTAACACTTCTCTGCTCTTTTCCCTGCCTTGGCCTTCCTGCTGTGTGTGCATGCACTCCTGCTGTGTACATAGCTTGCTGTCTGGCTCTGCCCTCTTCCTTCTCAGAGGGCAACAGGAACGGAAAAGGTTTTGTTTTACAACTCAACGGTGACACAAATAAAAGCATTACTTTAACTTCCCAGGGTTATAAAACCACACTGACTGCAGTAGTAGGGATCCAGCAGAGACGTGTGGCAGGACAGGATTACAGTGCATTTGCTGAGATGGGAAGCTGCACAGCATCTCCTGGTGGCATGCAGGCTAGGTTAACTAAGACTACTTCCTCCCAGATTTACATTTGTAGTAGCTTGCTTAGTTTTCCCTGTATTTGGAATAACTTCTGGGGTTTTTTTTTGGGTCTGATTTACTTGCTTTAAATTTTCTATGGGATTTCCCTTGAGAAGCAATGAACCAAATCAGGGCCCAGACTGTCTTCTTGAAACTGCCTTCACCTGAAACCAGCAGCAGTGCTTGTAGTTCATCCGAGTCCATCCTGGGAATGCTGAATTTCACTTGATGAAATATTATTTCCTGACTGGAAAGTGTAAGTTCTGAGTCATCACCGCAGACACAACTAACAGCACTCTCTTTTTCTTGCAGTTTCTTGTTTCTCTGCTGTTCTTCTCACTCATGGATCTAATCTCAGCAAAAATAGCACCAAAGGTAAATTCAGCCCTTAGGGGATTCTCATGACACCAAATACATCTGATCAGCTTGGTTTGCTGCCTAAAAATGCTTTGTACAAGTACTCTAAAAGCCAGTAGCTTGCTCTGCCAGAAGGGAAGGATTTGCAACATCCCAGACAGAGCCTGCTGAAAGCCCTTCTGTTCATATCAGATTGAAAATATATTTTCCTGTCTGATATTATCTTCCCTTTCACTACAGTAGCTTTTTTTTCTCGTCCTGAGCATCTTACAGTTTTCATTTTCCTGCTCATACTTTGCACTTCCCATGTAGTGCTGGAATCTCATATTTATGTCTTGGCTTCTGTGCATTTCACTTTTGTTGTAAGATACTTTTCCCCAGTCTGGAAACACATTTTATTTCACAGGAGATGGGGTCTGCAGCAAGGAGGAACACAGGTTTCTAAATGATTCAGAACTGTAAAAAGGAAGAGCAAAGACAAAAAGATTCTTTCAGCAGCTCTCTGCCCTAAGCATCCTCCTGCCTATGAATGTGTGTTTCTGTCTCTTTGTCATCTGCATTTTGAAGTGCAATCGTTTGTGTAATCAGCTAACAGATTGGATCAGGGAGCAGATTCAAGTTAAAAATAGTCATTTGGTCTCAGCTTTTCTCTGGGGGAGTCTGGAGAAGGAGTCACTGAGAAAAGAAACATCTTCACAAAGATCTGGAAGGTTGTTCTGAGTAAAATGAGTAATGCAAAAAACTCTTAACTGACACTGGAGAGGTTAGAGGGGGGAAGTTGGCTCTGGGGAATGGGGTGGGGTAGATGCAGAATTTGAGTATCTCTCTAGAGCAAAGTTAGGAAGCATACTGGTGACGAGCTGGTTGCTCATCAGTACTACTTCCTCTGCCTTTGCAAATGATGCTCAGTGCCTCCTGCATTGCAGAAGTGCCTGACTGCCCAGGAAGGAATTCAGCCCCCCAGGTGAGGAGAAAGGCTTGGGCTGAATTCACAGATGTCCTCTATTAAAGCATTTCACACGCATGATCTCTTACTGAAACTTGTCTGCTTTGATGCAATTAAAACCTAAGACAAACTAGACCTGTCCTTTCTGACACGCAGGAAGGTGTGGATGTTCAGACATCTCTGGAATGGGCCCTGGAGATCTTGCAGTGCCTGGAAGAGAGAGGCATATCCTGGCCACTTCTCTTCCTGTCAGGAGAAGAAGGTGAGTGAGTCTTCCTCGAAGGGGTGAGAAGGTGAGGTTTGGTGCTGGACAGTAATGCTTTATCTCTTTGATTAATGAGTGTGCTTGTAAGAAGGAACTCTGGTGCTTTTGTGGGCTGCATGGAAAAAAAGTTTCATTAAAAGCTGCTTTGACTCTGCAGTATGGTGACCTGGCTGCTAATTAGGAGCGACTGAAACTCAATATTTTATCTAATAGAAAAAGTCTAAAAGGAACAGCTTCCTTCTGCCAGGGACACTGCATCCACCATTAGGGTTTACTGTGTGCTGGGAAGAAGCTGTGCAGACCCTGCGTTAGGTAGCAGAGGACCACTGATGGTGCTGAATGCTTTTCTCTGTTGCAGGCTCTAGAAAATACTCTGTCCTGCACTGCGCAGCCTCAGACCGCCACAGCCGGCTCTTGCCTGTTGCCTTCTACAGGTAATGAATGTCCTGCTGGCTTCAGAAGGAATGCTTGTGGGGAGCATGTAGTTGGTGACTGACATGCACTGCAGCTGGCCTGTAGGTGAGCTGAGCTCTTCTGTTAGCTGTGCAGGAGAGAATAGTGCATCACAGCAAGACTGCTATTGAAGAATCCCTGTACGTTGTGCTAAAAGTTTCCCTTCATCTGTGTGTGTCTAACAGAAGTGTTCCTGGCTGCCTTCTCGCATGGTAGCCCTGCACACAGTGGGGAGCTGTAAGATGAGTAGTAGCAGGAGCTCTAGCTGTATTTGCCCTGTGTCCTTCCATTTAGTCTAGCATGAAGCAGCACTGACTAGGTGGTGCACGTATGCTTTCCCACAGCCTTACCCCCGGCTTTCACCGCAAGCTGCTCACCAGAGAGCACTTCTTCCTTTACGTGGCACTCAATCTCTACATCCAGCTGCTCCAGCTCTTTGTGGAAGGGAAAGACCTGCCCCAGCCTGAGCAGGTAGGAAAAGGCCCAGGCCCTGCAGAACATATGGGTGAAGCTCAGCCTCTTTATTTCTTCTTCTAACTCTGAATCGTATTTGTGATCCATTCCCAACGCCGCTTGCAGCATCCTTGTTCTCACTTTACTGTACAAAGTAGTGGCATGCTGTGGAGCTGCATTTGCAGGCATGCAGCCATGTATCTTTCCATTTGAGTCCATGAGGTGGAGAGAACCCTGCAGGTGTTGCTGTCCTGCTGGTGCCTGAAACCTAAGATGCCTTACTGCTGTCTTGTATGGGATCTTATGATGAATGTAGACAGTGATCGAGATATCTGCCCAACCTGTAGCTAGACCATAGCTCCAGCATAATGGTTCTTTTTTCCAGTTCAGGAGGTAGGGACTGAGACTTGAAAGTGACACTGCTCTGGGCTCTGATCTACCTTGTCTCTTCCGAGTTCCTCAGGCAGATCCCTTAGAAGTGATCTCTACAGCCCGTCAATTTCTCCTTGGTGCAATTCCATGCTGCCCTGCCAAAAGCTTTGGAAACATAGGACTGGTGCGTGAGTGTTTTCTCTTTTATCGCTCTGAGATGACTGTCTGCTCACTGACAGCACGTGTATCTTTCATGCCACACTCAAACTGTACTGGTGCTGCCTGCTTATCACACTGTATGCAGTACCTTTCTGTAACACTGGAGCGGTGGAGGACACCTGCTGTTCAACTAGTGCTACAGCCACAGCTGTCCTCCTCCCAGCTGCAGGCTCCATCTTTCTCAGCAACATTAACCATTATTCTTTCATGCAGTCTTGCACTCACCCCTTGCTTAATGCTCAGTCTTAGGTAAAAATATCAAACATAGTTAAATGACAGATGTTGAAATTCCAGCCCTCCACTGCGCTGTCTGGCAGAGCCCGTTATTTCTGCCTGAGTCAGCGACAGCACCTCTTCTTTCTACTTTTGCACATTGCTGAGAAGCAGCAAAATGATCTGGTGTAGCTGTAATTTGCTTTGAGGAAGCAGGCATCAGCAGTCTGATGCCATTTACTCTCTCCCCAGTTACTGGAGGCATGTGAAAAACTTGACCCAGAGGTAGGAGCCACCCTCCAGCACTTCTCCCGGCCTGCTGCATCCATGGAAGTAGATGAAGAGCTGCTCCTGTTCTGAGTGACAGTGACACTGCTGCAGGGAGCAGGCTGAGCAGAACACACTGCCTGCAGGTGAAGGGAAAGACACCACACTACCTTTCCCACTAGTGCTGTTTCTTTCCAATTACTTTGTAAATAATTTATTACAAGCATAACCATGAAGCTCTTATTACAATAAAAAGTAGGTTACAAACTTCAGTTTAGACTTGCTTTGGGATTTTTTTTTTTTCCAAAACAAAACGCCTGCTTTAAGTTGCTCTACTGTCATACGTACCCTTACAGCCACCCGAGGGCAATTCTGAGCAGGCAGCAGCTTGTGCAGGTTGGGAACAGTTGTGGGCCAACTTTGTTTCTACAACTGTGTGCGTAGGGAGAAGGGGGACAACAAAGGGGTGCTGCCAAACATCCATTCCCCTTGGATTAGACAGACTTAGTACAACACTGCTGAATCAGACGTGAGCATGGAGAATCACAGCATAACAAGCTTTTTCTGAGCAAGCTGAAGCTAATTCCATCGAGTTCTTTGGAGACTAAAACGTAGATTAAAAATCTCCACTCTGCCATATAGTTTCTATGGGGCCAGACTGGGAAAGCTTCCCCATCCCCCTCAGGTGGGCTCTTGCTGTGCAGTCACTTCTGGCTTTACTGCCTGGCTTTCTGAAGTCCCTGATGTATTTAAGAGGAGAATTGGCTCTGACTCCAGGGGCTTGGTTTTGTCCTGAGTCTGGGTCAGAGGATGCACCATAGACATGTGGACATTAAGGTTATGGGCCTTCTCAAAACGTTTCCCACACTGGTCACAGGCAAACTCCAGCTCCGTCTCCGCTTTGTGTTTGGTCATATGGTACTTGAGTGATGCTCGTTGCCTGCACTGGAAGCCACAGATTTCACACCTGCAAGGCAAAGCATGGGCTCAGCACCCAGCTCAGAGCCACAGCCCGAGCCCAAGCTGTCTGTCACAGTGACTAAGCCCATGTTTTCCTGCACTGAACAGGAGGAAGGAGCTGCAAGAGAAGAATACTGCAGCCTTCAACAGCTGGCTTAAAGCACCTTCTAGAACCACCCAAGCCAAGGAGCATCATCATTCTCAGGTCTGTGGCTCACTGCTTGTAGCTGAGCATTCATCAGTTGGACGCTGAAGAACAGGCATAGAAGGGGCAAGACTTGCTCAGCAAAGGGAAGCTCTGGAGCTCAGACACACAGTGGGGAAGTGGATGAGTATTTAGTGTCACAGAATTACACAGCACTGAGGACAATAAGAGCTCAGCACAACTTCCTGACTCCTCCTGTCCATTTTCTTAGCTACGAAGGCATGATGAGGTACACTTACTGGAGAGGCTTTGCTCCTGAGTGCCGCATCTGATGGACTGAGAGGTGTTTGCGTTGCTTAAAGGTCTGCCCACATTCATCACAGATATAGTTGCGTACCTCTACAATGGAAAGGAGGAAAGACTCACCCACTGTGCTGATTTCTTAGCACATGAAACACACAAGCAGCTGTCCATGGCTCCTAGAGGAGCCTGAACTCCTCCTCCTGTCTCAAGTCTCTAGATGAAGGCTTGCTGCAGACTTACACATCAGGAAGACAGTTCTACAGCCCCACAGTCTTGCTATGGCACCTACAAGCCTTGTACAAATGAATTACTCCATGCTGGTACCTGTTCTGTGTGATGAGAAGCTGTGGAGACGCACCTGTATGAATGAGCTTCACGTGGCGCTGTAGGTACCGGTCAATCATGAACACCTTGTTGCAGCCTGGATGAGGACAGGGCCTCTCCCGAACTTCTTCATGATGCTCTTTGATGTGTTTCTGGAAAGAAAGGACAGAGCTTCTAACTTCTGGTCAACAGACACAGACTGGGGCTGTGTTTTCTCCAGAGAAGAGAATTTGGATCCCACAGTAAGCAGGACACCCATCTTGGCAGCCTCATGCACCAGCACTGTTTCACTGTGAAAAAGCAGGGATGGATTTGGGTGCAAGTGTGGCAGAGGGGACTTTCACAGGACACAGCAGAACTCATTCCAAGAACTGCTGCTGAGCCACTGGCTGGCAGGTTTGAGGAAGGAACAAAGCCTGAACTTACCTTCATGCCATCTGCCCCTCTGTAGACAGCTGTGCAGCCCTGGTAAGGACACTTGTAAATGGTGGGCAGCTCCTCCCTGCAAAGCAGAGGCTCACTGTCAGCCAAGGGCCTAGAGCTGGGGCTGCAGCCTAGCCATGGTCTGCTCCTTATTACCTTTCACATTTGATTTTTTTTTTCCAGCCTGGTTTTGGCCCTGGCTTCTTCCTTACTTTGGGCTCTTCTGCCTTCTTCGCTTCTTTGCTGTCACTTTTCTTGCTAGAAACCCTCCAGGAAGGAAGAAGGACATTTGTTTAATAATTGATTCAAGATCTCCTACCTAATTGTCCCTGAATGTCACACTGGGCCTGGGGGCTTAGCCTGGCAACAACGGGAGCATGCTGTCAACTGCAAGCAAGCCACAATGATGTATTCAGTGCAGGGCTGTGCAGGAAAACAAGCTTGCCCAGCTGAGCCCTCCCCATCCCCAGGAAGCAGAGGTGGTGCCAGCCCTCCTGATCAGCCACCCAGCTGAGCACACTGTGCTGCACAGCAAGGAAAGCCCCTCACTTTTTCTCAGGGTAAGGCTCGAAGGAGTCGTCTGAAGATTGCACGTTTCTCTTCTCCATTTCATCATCACTCAAGAAGTCTCTGAGAAAGAGAGAAAATGCCCTTTACCAACACAGGACTTGGCTGACAGTTCAGCACAGCAGCATGTTCTTCATTCCCAGCATTTACCTTCCCCATAGAACAGCATGGCAACTGAGGCTCCATGTGTTCTCCTCCCCCACAATCTCCCAAAACAAATACAGCCCCCAAACGCAGCAAATAGCAGAATTGGTTCCTTTTAGGACTAATCTCTGTAAGAATCACTGAACCACTTTTAGGAGAACAAAAATGGCTGTTTCTGAGAGGGTCTGATGTTGTAACAGCTTCCTATACTAAGAAAAGTCATTTTGTAGAGCAAGAATGTAATATAAATGTCTGGCACAGGTTAATTAAGCTACAGGTCATTCAGTATTTCCTCATGTGGAGCAGCCACATCTTTTTGTTTGTTTTTAAATCCCATGCTACACAAGAAGCAATTAATTCTGAAGCCAAGAAACAAGCAGTAGGTTCCCTTGGTGCTTTCTACATGACAGCTGACAGATTTAGCTGACACACCAAAGTAAGTTTGCACTTGGCCCCTCTGAACCTCCACTAAACCAGCAGCTGTTCACACACCTCAGTTGCAGTCCCTGGATTTGGATGGCTCAGCCAAATCCTGGCTCAGAACAACCACTAAGCAGCCTGCATCCCACTTGGGCTTTCTGTACTCTCCTTGTGCACAAACAGGGTGATTTCAGAGCAGCAGCTCCTGCCTGTGAGCCCACACTGACCGCTCACAGCTGCAGAGGGGAACCAGCACTGGCACTACCAGCACACAGTATCACACAGCCCCACGCTGCTCTGTCATGGCCACTGCTATCCCAGAGCACGGGGCAGTGCACAACACAGCCAGCTGTGCTGGAAGCAACCAACAGACAGCACACACTGCATGTGCAGCATGTGGGAGGGAGCCAAGTGCTACCAGCGTGGCTGCAGAAAAACCTCCCTGCCCCTCAGTGCCACCTCCCAGGGCCTTCTGAGGACCGGGCCGCTGGTGGAGAAGCTCTCCGCGGTCATTTCATACTCGCAAAGAAGACATTAAGGCTATTTTAAACCCACTCTTCTCTCACCCCTCAGAAAGGTCACTGAACTCGTCTTTTACCCGCTCATCCGACGTTGTAGACAGAACCTGCTTCCCACTCAACTGTCCTAGGGAATGAAAGAGAACAAGTTACGTTACTAGGAAAAGCAGTAAAAAGAAGCCAGAGGCAGCTGTTGAGAAGGCACTGACTTAACTCATGGTGGCCCAAACTGCAAAAAAGATGTGCTCCAAGATGAGTTAATGATTATTTAAAATCAAAGTCAATGCTTCATGAGCTCTGGGAGCATTCTCTCTGCACCACAGGCATGGAGAGCCTTTACCCTGCAGCTCCCACAAGCATCTTTTGGTTTCCCAGTCACTGCTGCTCTGCAACCAAAAGACTCATTCCCCAGTGAGTTACAACTACCTTTTCTCTTTCCAGCAGCAGACATATCATGTAACTGCCAGAGCTAAACAGATCCCAACTTCTGTAACTCAAAGTCAGCATTAAGCCCCAAATTTTAAAAGAGAGAAGAACGCAGCAACAAACCTATATTAAGGCAGCCCAAGAGCAAGGCTGCCTGTGCAGACAGAAGCACCTCCTAGGCCTCATGCTGCTCACACTGTCCTGTAGTCACAGTGGGATGGGAAGACCCCCCACACTGACACACACACAGGGTTTGGATTGACCCCAAATAGCCACCTGGCAAACAGACAGGGACCACTCTGCACCACTTGACTGGTGAGAGCAGGGCCATGTGGTCCTGCCAGATATACACAGCAGCTGAACAGCCACATCTCACCCACTCATCAGAGAGAAAAATGATGTGCAGAGGCAAGGAAACCAGCTTGGCCACAGGACAGCTGGACCAGCCAAAGCTCCACATCCTCCTTCCCTCTGCAAGAACAGAGCTGATTCTCTGTGCAACAAGCACTTCTGAGCTGTAGTTCAAGTACCCTATCAGTCCCCAAGGAGGGCCACCCAGGCCCAGCAGTGCTCCTTGAGCAGATTTCTGTCTTACTCAGAGGCCTGGGGGGGCAATCAGAAGGGAAATCCCTTACCTGTGGCACTGCTCAGTGGTGACACGGGCTGGGGCAGGGCTTTCTCCTGTAACGAGGCTGTGCTGTCCAGCTGAGAATGAGACGAATCCCTGTTCTGTGATGGCTCATTCTCCAACTTCAGTGGCACTGATGTGGTCCCTTTGTTTGTGGGCTGCTGACAAGGAGTTGTCCTTACTGGAGCAGAAACTGGTTTGGGAGCGGGAACAGCCTCGGCATTGTCTGCCCCGTTGTCTGTCAAGCGCTGCGCCATGTTCTTGTTCCATTCCCGTTTGACAGCCAAGGCATTGTCAACAAGCACCGTACTACAGTCAGAATCCGTGTCCATGATGTAGTCATGCCCATCCCCGCAGCCCCAGACAGCACGGATGATCCCACAGTACTCAGAGGACAGCACGCTCTGCAAGCTCGGCACTGACTGGCAGCCCCCGGCGTGCGCATGTGCCCACGTCACCAGGCTGTGCAGGCACTGGGGGCTGGAGGTGATCAGGTCAACTGTTGGAAGGGGAGAAGCAGCAGGCACAGGGTCAGTGCCTGCAGACCTGTTCCTTCTGCACACCCAGATTGAGGCGTGTGGCAGCAGGCAAGGGAGGCAACCTACAGATTTCTCTTTGCATCCCGCTGTACGCCAGAACCACCCTGCCCTCAACACCCCTGAAAACCAACCCTTCCCTGCTGGAGGAGGCAGCTCTGTGAGCAGCTACTCACCCAGACAGGAGGCACCTCCTTCCACGCCAGGCTGGGCCGGGGCTGCACCGCTCCTGCAAAAGCCAGAACAGCACTGGTAGCATTAGAGGGACCATACTGAACACGCAGCGATTCATTACTCCCAGTAACTACCAGGTGCACAGAGATGCAACGTACTTTCCTTTCGACTTGATGTGGCCTATGGGAGACGCGTTCACCCTCTGAATAAACGTCCTGAGGACGCTGCGGCACTTGTAGAACTGAGCATGGCATTTCTTGCAGACAAACTGGGGAAGCGTGGGGTCCTGGCGCACTGCCACCCCGACCAGCCGCTGGAAGTCTGTGAAGAAGACCTGATCCACGCGGCGCTGCTTCTCCGAGTTCTCCCCCATCACAGGAACCTTCCCAAAGGCGTTGCGCAGGCTCCTGGAGGAGAACTTCCCGTGGCAGAGGCGACAGTATCCAGTGCTCAGGGCTCTGCCAATTCCTGCGAGAGAAGGACCGGATGCAGCTGCATGGTGTCTGCTGCAGGAGCACGCAGCCAGCTGCGGCCCGAGGGCATCGGCACACTGGAAGACAACATCCCCATCCCTCGATCCAAGCCAAGGCTGCCTTCAAAGTCCTGGCTTCAGCTCCAGCACAGGACAACCAGGAGGAGTGATACCTCTGTGAGTCAGAGCAGAGCAGGAGCTTCACACCACCACCCACAAACCTATGACATCCCTGCCCTGCACCCCTGGGTGGCTGTTCCAGACCTGACTCTGTTGTTCTCAAGGCTCACACACATCCATGCTTCCACCAACACTGTCCTCCAGCTGGAGTGCTTCTTTTCCCACTCCACTGTTTATCTCCAAAATATTCACAGCCAGCAGCCACAGCCCTCAGTGAGCCGGAGCCTCCACAGATCCCAGCCTGCCCAGTGCGCTGTTCCTATCACCCTAACGGTCCCACAGCCACACACAGAGCACAAAGGAGGCTCCCAGGGACAGAGCAGTCACTGCCTCAGAGCAAAGAACGATGCCACAGCTCTGCTCTAAGGGCACTAACTGTGCGCCTCCCCCATGGCAGCCACTGCGCAGGGACCCCCAGCTGCACACAGCACGATGATAGCCCTCACCTCCTTCCTCAGCAGCAACACACGCAACTACCAGCTCCAATGACCGCCGGTGGGCAGAGCAGAGGATGAGCCCCACCAACGTCCCCCAGGGCTTTTTCTTGCTGCTCTCTGCTCCCCAGCTACATGCCTGCCCCCACTTTAAGCCACTGACCGCAGCCAGATCAAGGCCTGCAGCTCAGCGCCCCGGGATGAGGCTGCTTAGGGCGCTGCTCCCCACTGCCCCCCCCCCATTCCTCCGAACCCCTGAGAGCCCCACGGCCGGAGCGAGGCTGAGGCCTGCAGCTCTGCGCCCTACGGCCCCACGTACGGCAGCAATCGGTGCTTCGCGCCACTCGAGGCCTCCCAGCCTTCCTCACGTCCCCGCGCCCCTACCGCCCCCCGGCCCCACCCGGAGGCCCGCTCAGCTCTCACCTGCCTCCGCCGCCCCTCCGGGCCGTGCCCAAGCGGAGTCCTCCGCCGCCACCGGGGCCCACCCCGCGGTCGGTTCGGGCCCGGCCTCCCCCTCCGCGGACCCCCTGGCCGCGGGCCGCCTGCGGGGTTCGGGGGAGGCCGCAGCGGAGCCGCCCGCGGCCGCCAGGAACCGCCCGCGCCGATCGCGCTTCATCGCCGCTCACCGCGGGCCCGGCGCGCTGCGCCCCGCCTCTTATGGCGCCCCCTTGTGGGCCGGAAGACCCGAAGCTGCACTTCCGGTGCATATACCATCCGTTTTAAAGTCCCTCCGGAAACACTCTCCGTCTGCACTTCCGGCTTCATCCCTTTGCTTTTTAAGTTCCCCCTGGGAACGCGCGGCCACTGAGATCTGCGTTCCGGCCGCCATGGCCGCGGCGGGCGGTGGTGGGGATGGAGGTGCTGGGCCGGGCCGAGCCCTGCAGACCGCCATGAGGGCGGCGAGCGGGGCTTTAGAGATGGACAGCGCGGGGAGGACGCGGGTGAGCATCACAGCCCTGTGGGGGGGGGGGCCCGCTCTCTTGCCGCACCTCCCGCCCACCCCCCCGCCCCCACGATCCTGTGGCCATCTCTGCCTCATTTCTATTTAATTTCACCGCAGGAAGCCTATGTGGAGTATCTGAAGAGCATCACCCTCATCTCACAGGCCCTGCAAGACGAGGCAGCGCTGACAGGTAACCTCCCCCCCGCTGTCCCTCCCCCTTGCCCCACACATGGGAGCGCAGCATGACACTCCCATCTCGCAGAGGACAGCGAAGGGCTCGGCTCCAACACACCCAAAATGCTGAAGCTGGCAGAGCAGTGCCTGGAGAGAGTCAAGTCCTTGGCAGCCACACTGGGTGAGTAATGTCACCTCCAGGTGGACTGAAGCCCTTAACAGGGGCTGATGTACCCGTGTCACCCTCCATAGGGCAAAAAACAAACAAGGCAAAACCGAGCGTGCCGGGGGGGCCTGCACCCATCTCCAGGCACCGCAGGGTTTTCTCTGATGAGGGAGGCAAGCTGTCACCCTTCCTGCCGCCGGAGATCTTCCAGAAGCTGCAGATTGCTGAGGCACAGAGTGCACGCAAGTAAGTGGGGCTGAAGGACAGCAATTGTAAAGGGGCTGGGGCACAAATCCTATGGAGATTGGGAAAAGGAGAGTTAGGGGGACCTAATTGCTCCCCTCAGGGACCTGAAAGCAGAGCAGGGTTGGGTTCTTCTACCAAGCAACAATTAGGTAGGTGTGGTGCTTAGGGACATGGTTTATAGATAGAGTTGGCAATGCTGTATTAATGGTTGGTCTTGATGTCCTCCAAATGACAAGAGATTATGGTGCTGATTTACAGCAGAGAAGGTTAAGATTGGATATCAGGAAAAATTTCTTTTCAAATGGAGTGGTGATGCACCAGCACAGGCTGCCCAGGGAGTGGTTGGGTCACCATCCTTGGGGGTGTCCCAGAATTGCAGAGATGTGGCACTGAGGGATGTGGTTATGGGCATGGTGGGGTGGGTTGGGGTGGGCTTGGGGATCACAGAGGTCTTCTTCAACCTGGAAGGGTCCCAACTGGCCAGGATCCCTGGCTTGCATGCAAGGCCACAGCAGTGTTCACTTCATCCCCTGCAGGGAGCTGACACCACTGGAGGAGGCATCGCTACAGAACCAGAAGCTGAAAGCTGCCTACGAGGCACGGGTGGCACGGCTCAACCCCAGCCAGGCCCTGCAGAAAACCTCGCTGGTGAGTGGGGAGCTGGGTACTAAGGGTCCTATGCTGAGACTTTGAGCAGGTGTCACCCACGTAATGTTCATTGCTTGGCAGACGCTGTCTCTACAACGGCAGATGATGGAGAATCTGGTGATCGCCAGGGCACGAGAGGAGACTGTATCCTTTCCACTAAAAGAGCCCAAAGCAGGGGTCCTGCGGCTGGGCCTGGCTTTGTGCTGCAAGCCCCTGTTCCTTGCCCCAGGATGCACCAATCCAGCACGTGCATTTGGTTTTGAGTTCTGCCCTGTTTCTGGCTGATGTGGGGGTACAGATCGAAGCCACATGGACAGGCTGGATGCTGCTTGTCCAGCTTTGTCCAAGCTGCCCATGTGTCCTTGCTCTGGGGTCCCTAGGAGCTGTGCCTCCCCATGTACCCTGTCAGTGCTTGTGGCTGTTACTTCGTCAGTAACAGGGCCGTGCTGGGTGAGATGCTGGCTCACTGGTGCGGCACTTCCAGTGCCTTAACTGTGCCCTGGCCCAGCTGCAGAGGAAAATGGAGGAGCGGCGGCTGCGGCTGCAGGAGGCGGCCAACAGGTGAGGGGATCGGGGTGTCCCAGTGGGGACTGCGAGGCTGCGGAGCTTCCTGCACACCCCTCACCTGGCACTGTGGCACTCGCAGGAGGTTCTCCAGCAGTGTGGCCCTAACCCCTGAGGAGCAAGAGCAGAGAGAGCTCTATGCTGCCATCCTTGAGTATGAACAGGACCATGTGAGTATGTGCTGGAGGCTGCTGCTCTGGGTGCCATGAATGCAGAGGGCTGTGCTGGGAATCAGGGAGAGGAGGGGCTATACCCACATCCCCACTAACCTGCTGCAAGCGCTCCCCCAGGATTGGCCACGGCAGTGGAAGGCCAGGCTGAAGAGGAGCCCGTCAGACCTGTCTCTGGTGACAGGGCTCTTCTCCTGCCTCCTCAGGTACTGCAGGGCTGGCAGGGTCGCAGCCACTTGCCATTGTCCCCTGCTCACCTCTGTCCCTCTGCTTCCAGCTTCCCAGAGCACCCCATAGTTCAGCTCCTGCGCAAGCTGCAGTGTGCGGTGTACACTCGGCTGTACCCAGCCATCAGCCAGAGCAACCATGATGCCACTTCTGCAGCCCCCACCGGCCTTGCTTTCCTTTCACTGGATGCAGGAGGGCTGCTGCCTGCAGAGCCAGGGGGCCGGCGGCTCCGAGCCTCCCGCAGCCTGCACTGCATGTTCTCAGTGCCTGAGCACGGCCCAGCCACGCTGCGGCACAGCATCTCCGGAGCAACCCTGACTGATGGCAGCCCTGACGCCTCCAGGGCAGAAGGGAATCCTCGGTCTCCCCGGGAGAGCTCCTTTGAGGATCTGGAGCGGTTCCTGGCATCGCCTGAGGACTGGCCCCCAGCAGAGCCCATGGCTGGGCCCAGGCCTGCGGCATCGCTGCAGGAGCAGCTGAAGGGCATCGTGCGGGACATCCACAATGCCATTGGTGAGGAGCGGCCATGGCTCTGGGATGGAGGAGGGGTGACATGGCAGGCCAGGGCCTCACTGTGCCCAGCCGGGTGAGCTGCGTAACTCCTCCCTTCCCAGACAGGCTGCTGTCCCTGACCCTGCTGGCCTTTGAGGGGTTGAGCACTGCTGCTGGCAAGGACCAGTGCCTGGCCTGCATCGAGGATGCTTTCTTCCCTCCATTGTGGGCCCCGCTGCTGGCCCTTTACAGGTACCATGGCCCCAGGGCTGAGCTGGGGGCGGCTGTTATGGCCCCTCTCTGCCAGCCCCCACCCTTTTGCCCATAGGAACGTGCACTGGCCCCAAGAGGAAGCCCTGGCTCGCAGCATGGAGCGGCACCGCCACGCCAGCCCCGCCGACCTGGGGCTGTCCCCTCGGCTCTTCCCCACTGCGCCCGGCCGCCTGGCCTACGGTGCTGCCATTGAGGAGCTGTGCCTCATCCCCCTGGAGACTTGTCCCCGCAGGAAGCTGGACTGCATCGGTACGGGGCCGGGGTGGGCACAGGCTGGGTGCTGCAGCGGCCATGGGATGGCCCTGAATGCTCTGCCCTGTGCTGCAGTGCGAGCCCTGCGCAGCATCTGCGAGTGTGCCGAGGAGTACTGCAGCACCCGCGACAGCCGTGCTCCCACTGCTGGCACCATGTGAGTATGGGGTGAGGAGTGCAGCCCTGCTGCCATGGGGCTGGGGAGGTGGGCTGGTGGGGCTGCTGATTTGCACCGGAGGGGCTGGCGGCTCTTGTAGGGGTGTCTGTCAGCCCGATGGTCCCTGTTGTGGGTGGACAGCGATGCTGGTTGAGCTGGGGTTGATGGTTCCTGCTGCAGCACGCTGACTGTTTCTGCTGTGGTCGTTAACGGTACCCCACAGGGTTTGCTGTTCCCATTTTGGGGAACTGATGGTTCTTCTGCCATGCTGGTGGAGCCAGTGGTGCCCAGTGCCATAGCAGTTGGGCTGATTGTCCCTTTGCCACGGTGTCAGGGTTGATGGTTCCACTGCCGGGCTGGTGGGGCAACAGTCCCACGGCCGTGGTGGTGGGGTCTGAGCATTCCACTACCGCGGAGGTGATGAACCCGATTGCCCCTTCGCCACGGCAGCGGGCCCACGGTCCTTTAGCCACGGTGATGGGGGCCGATGGCCCCGTTGCCACGGCGACGGGCCCGATGTTCCCGCTGCCACGGTGACGGGGCCCCTGACTGATGCACGTGGCAGCGGGGCGGATGAGCTGCTGCCTCTCCTGTCCTACGCGGTGCTGCGCAGCGCTCTGCCCCAGCTGCTGTCGGAGTGCGCCGCGCTGGAGGAGTTCATCCACGAGGGGTAGGTGCCGGGAGCGGGGCGTGCCGACCGCCTGCCGCCCCGCGCCCACCGCGTGCTGTCGCGTGCCGCAGGTGCCTGCTGGGCGAGGAGGGATACTGCCTGACGTCGCTGCAGAGCGCGCTGGCCTTCCTGCAGAGCCTGCCCTGAGCTGCCGGCAAGTGCTGCGCTCCTCCCGACCGCCAGGGGGCGCCGGACGGTCCGCGCCTCCGAGCGGACGGAGTCACGTGGTGGGCGGGGCGCGGGAAGCGGAAGAACGCGCGTGTGCGGCGCGGGGCCCGGCGGCGGGCGGGGAGCGGGAGGGAAACGAGGCCGAGGAGCGGGGCCGGACCGGAACCGGGGCGCTCACCCGCCGCAACCGCAGGATGTGCGCGGGCCCGGCGCTGCGGCAGGAGTACCGGCGGGGCATGGAGCGGGGCCGCGCCCTTCCCGGTCCCGACCCCTCGTTCGGGGAACGGCTGCGGCAGCGGCTGCGGAACGAGGCGGGGCTGCTGCCGGCCCTGCAGGACGACGCCGGCGCTCTCCTGGCCCGGGGGCTGCGGGGCCGCCGCGAGCCGGGCTCGTCGCTGCGGGGTCTGGCCGCCGCCTTCGACCTGCTGGAGCGGGCGGCCCTCAACCTCTACCTCTTCCCCTGGCGCAAGGAGTTCCGCACCATACAGGTGGGTGCCGAGCTGGGGCTGCGCGCCGGTGGGACGCGGTGCCTCGAGTGAGCCCTGCCGCTTTCCTTCTTCTCCTTCCAGACCTTCTCAGGAGCTTACGTACACGTGCTGCGGGCCGCGCTGCCCGACGCCGAGCTGCTGCGGAGCTTGGGCCGGCTGGGCTACGTGCGGCTGGATGAGCGTCGCCTCGCTGTGTCCCGGCCGCCTCCGGGCACCGAGCTGGCCGCTGCTGCGTGCGGCTTCTTCGCCTGCCGGCTGGAGTGCGAGATCCTGGCCGAAGTGCTGCTGCGGCTGCAGCCGCGCCTGCCGCGTGCCGAGGAGCTGCTGGATGCGCGCCGCCTCGCCGGGGACGTGGAGGCCTGCGTGGAGATGCTGCGGAAAGCAGCTCCCGGCTGTGAGGATGGCAGGGATTTCTACGGGGATGTACCGGACAGCCCTGAGGATCTCTATTTCGAGAGGCCAGACAGTCCTGAGGATGGTGGGGAGCGAGACCCGAGTCTCCCGGCGCTGAGCTCCAAGCTGCAGGGCGCACAGGATGTGCTCGGGAGGAATTGGGACGCCTATGAATGTAGCGAGCTCAGACAGGAGCTGCTTTCCTCCCCAGGCATCCCCAAGCCAGACCCTTCCTCCCCTTGCTTCTTCCTGCAGCAGGAGCAGAGGGAGGTGAGCAGCAGCCCCCTGTTGCTCTGCCCTGCGCAGCTGCCCCCTGGGGAGCCCCCACCAAGCAGCCACACCAGGGCTCAGCCCCCTGCTGCCCCGCAGCAACTCCCTGAGCTTCCCTCCTACCAGCTGCACTCATGCCTGCAGCAGGGCACGCTGCCTGCCTACTGCTGCACCACCTGCCAGCAGCTGCATGCTGGTACCTGCGCGGCTGGGCTGGCTTGCCGCAGCCGGCACCGTGGGCAGGAGCTGTGCTGTGAGCGGCAGCAGCGCCTCTGGCTGCAGCGCACAGAGGTGGACATGCTGCTGGCTGACAGCACCAGCACCCGGCCCTAGCATGGCACTTCAGCTTGAGGGGACACTGCTGCTGCTTGTCCCTCTGCCTGAGAGACACTGAACTCAGCCCCATGCTCCTACCGAGCCCTGCAGGGCAGTGCCAGGGAGGTAAGAGCTGGGAGGACTGAGCCCTGTTCTGGTTCCTGCTGTAAGTGGCTCGCTGCATCCCAGTAAAGTGTGGCTGCCTCATGACTTGGTGGTTTTGTCCTGGCAGGGAGGGAAGGAGGAGACCCTGGGGGATCTGCTGGATGAAAAACTGAACGTGAGCCAGCTGGGTGCTCATGCAGCTTGGAAGGCTGAAGGTATCCTGAGCTCCATCAGGAGAGGCAGCAGGAACAGGGAGGGGATTGTCCCTCCCTACACTGCCCTTGCGAGGCCCCATCTAGAGTACTGCATCCAGGCCTGGAGCCCCCAGTACAGGAAAGATGTGGAGCTGTTGAAGGGGGTCCAGAGGGCCACTGAGATGATCAGAGGGCTGAGGCACCTCCCCTACAAAAACAGGCTGAGGGAGCTGGGCTTGTTCAGCCTGGTGAAGAGCAGGCTGTGAGGAGACCTCATTGCAGCCTTCCAGTATTTAAAAGGGGATTATAAAATGGAAGGGAATCAACTTCTTACACAGGTAGACAATGACAGGACAAAGGGGAATGGTTTTAAGGTCAAGGAGGGAAGGTTTAGATTGGATGTCAAGGAAGGTCTTTACATAGAGAGTGGTGAGGTGCTGGAACAGCTGCCCAGAGAGGCTGTGGATGCCCCATCCCTGGAGGTGTTCATCACCATGTTGGATGGGGTCCTGGGCAGCCTGGTCTGGTAATAGCTGTAGAGGTTGGTGGCCCTTCCTGTGGCAGGGGGATTGGAACTTGATGAGGTCCCTTCCAACCCAAGCCATTCTATGATTCTATGGCACTCCTGTCCCTGAGGGGGCTTCATCCAGGGCCAGCATTATCCTATGGAACTGCCCTGCAGGCTCAACTCTCATCTCACAGTACAGCTGGGAAGGCTGTGCTTCAGGCTGGTGGAGAGGCAGAGCCTGTGCTGTCTTTATCCCTTTGCAGGGACAAAGGTAGAGATGTGGTGCTGACGGAGAGGCCAGACTCAGCATCCTGTCCGGGTATTGCCCTAGGGAACTTTCCACCACCACTGCCCTTTGCAGCTGTTTTTATTGACAGCACAGTCAGGGTTGCACCACACAGCCAGTACAGGCCAGAGCTGGTCCTGCCAGACATCCAGCATCTCTGTATTAAACCCCCATCTCCCCCCCTTTCAGTCCATGCCTCCATCCCACCCCCAGGGGAGGAGGCAGCACAGGCTTAAACCCATCCCGTGCTGTGCTCGCAGCTCCAGGCTGTTGCCCCCTCAGCTCCAGGGCAGAAGGAAGCCAGCACTATACAATGCTTGGGCTCTGCTGGGCTGGAAGGCTGTGGATGTTCCCAGCGTGAGAAGCTCTGCATGGGGCTGAGCGCAGGCATTGGTAACCAAGGCAGCACCCCTAAAATGCAACTCTTCAGGGACTGGGGCAACATGGCCAGGAGCCATCCCAAGAGGTGACAGCACCCAGCACTGCATCACTGAGGAGAGCTGTGTGCCTTGCCAGCAATGGGGCAGGAGCCAGTGCTCAGCCTTGGCAGCGATGATCCCTGCTTGAGTTCCCTGCATCTCCTCCTTTCGGACAGGGCTCAGGGTTTGGCACGCTTTGCCTGGGTCTCTGTCCCTGTGCTGGCGCTGGCTGCCCGCTTGTTGCGATGGTGGGGGAAGGTGGGCATGAGCTCTGGCTCACAGGCTGGGGAGGCACAGAGACAGGTCAGCAGATGCCAAGCACTGCAACCCTGGTTGGTGGGGAATGTACTTACGCAGGGGCTTCTCCTTGAAGTATGAACTATCCAGGCTGTCCTTTGCTGTTGCCCTGTGGGGACAAGATGTGGCAAGCTCTGCTCCCAGCCCAAACATGCTGCCACCTTCCCTTGCCCTCACTGCCTGCCAGCTCTCCCATTTCCCATCCCACCCGCGCTCCTCCATGGTCCCAATTCCACTCCAGCACCTGCCCACAGCACTGAGCTGTGGCTGATCCGCCACAAAGGCAGCCCCATCAGCAGGCAGGGGCCTGCCCTGAGCCCTGCCCACACAGTGGCTCTTACCGCTTCTTGGGATCATACATGAAGAGGAAGTTGAGCAGACGCAGCCCAGCCTCTGAGAGCCAGGGGAACTTGTGCTTGAGGTTGTTATAAGGCTGTTTCCGCAGCGTGTACTGACTCACCAGGGGCAACTTGGAGAAACCCTGAGGGAAGGGGTAGGGGGGCATCAGGCAGGGCAGGAGGGCAGGCAGGGCAGGAGGTGCTGTGGGATAACTCTCACCGGCCAGATGTTTTCATTGGGTGTCCCCAGGAGCTGCACAATGAGGTCTATTTGGTGGATCTCAGAGGTGCCTGGCAGCAGTGGCTTGTGAGCCAACAGCTCAGCAAGGATGCAGCCCACGGCCCTGCAGTGCAGAGGACACACAGGAGTTGGTGAGGGCAGCAGAAATTCCTCTGTTGATGTCCTGGCTCCTACAAATCCCCCAGGCACCACCCAGCCAGCCTCAACCTCTCCTGTCCCCTGCTCTTACCACATGTCAATGCTGGTGGTCTGTGTTGTCACTCCTAGCAGCAGCTCAGGTGCTCGGTACCTGTGCAGGGAAGGCACCATCTTTAGACGCAGCACAGGAAGCCCCTGCCCCCAGTGGCAGTGCTGCAAAGACTTCCTCCACATCACCCTGAGCCAGCACAGCTCAGCACCTTGCACTGACCACTCACCACAGCGTGACGACTTTGGGGGTCATGGGTTGTGGTGGCATCCCATATGTACGTGCCAGACCAAAATCCGCTGCAAGAAAGAAACGAACCCGAGGTAAGGAAAGGCAAGCTCCATGCTTTGTCTGCTTGTAGAGCAGAGGGAGAGCTGCAGGCACACCTACAGCAGGAGCTGAATTGCCAGAGACAAGGCAGCAGCCAGGGGCTCACCTATCTTCACACAGCCCTTGTCAGTCATGAGCAGGTTGGACACCTTCAGATCCCTGTGGGGAACACCGAGTGGTGGTCAGCACTGCCTGCCAGGCACAGCTCCTCCTGTACATGCACTTCCCCAAGGCACCTGGGAGGACAAAGAGCCCCATCCCTTGCCTTCCCTACCCCGGCTCCCACACTGCACAGCAAAGCCAGGGTTTTGCTCCAAGCCCCTGCCCAGAGCTTCTCCACACAGTGCTCCTCGCTCCCAGCAGAAGTGTGTGAACTGAGGAACCAACATGCAGTTATGGGGCTCATCAGACTGCCTCCCAGCAATTCCTTTTCCCCACCACACACCCAGTCTCTCCCACTGCTCTCACCTGTGGATGATGTACCTCTCATGAAGGTACTGCAGACCCCTGAGGACTTGCAAGATGATGCATTTCACCTGAAGAAAGAGGACAGCAGTGTCACCCAGCACGTGAACAGCACGGCCAGCCCTGCTGAAGCTACCAGCATAAGGTGGATTGCAAACTGCAAGGAATCCACACTGGCGGCCATGGCGTTCTGGCCCATTCTCAAGGATGACATTCCTAAAAGCCTGCCCCAACCTTTACCTGAGCCTCTGAAAAAGGTGTCTGCATGTTCTCGAGAAGACTGGCAAGGTCCTGCTCACAGTAGCCCATCACCAGGAAAATACTGTAGAGGAGACACAGGCATCTCACTGCCCAGTACTGTGAAAGGCACCTGAGAGCAATGAGGCAGCATCATCTCTGAAGGGTGGAGGGCACACAGGGAGGCTCTCACCTCTCCAGATGGTTCCCCACAACCACCTCCTTCAGTTCCACAATGTTGGGATGCTGGAGCTCCAGGAGCAGGGTGATCTCCCGCAGGCTGCTGACGGGCATTCCTGAGGGCAGTGAGAACCACACTGCACAACTGCCTCAGGTGGAGGCCAGGAACACTGCCACCTGCCACGAGGAGCCGTCCCCATTCCTCATGTACCTTCCTTCTCATTGTCCATCCGTACCTTCTTCAGTGCCACAGTCTCATCTGTCACAGTGTCCCGGGCACGGTCTGGAAGAGCAGCACAGGGCGGGAGCTCAGCATAAGCTTTAGCCAAAGGGACACAGCCACTGCTGAGTCTCACTCCTCTCAGCCTCGGTCCCACAGCGCCCAGGTGTCGGCAGATGTGCTACAGGCCCACCCTTCCACCCAGGCTCCAGCCAACACACACTTACACACTATGCCATAGGTGCCCTCTCCAATCCGATTCAGCTTCTCAAACTCCTTCACACTCCGGCATTTCCCCAGCTGGAACCAAAGAGCCACATCACAGCCAAAGGCTCTCTCTCTCAGGGGCAGCCCTCAGCAGCTTCTCACCAACATTCCCACAGCGCTACAACCTTGACAGTAGACAGCAGTCACAATAAAGGGCGACACTCTGAGCGATGCCCAGTTTGGCACTGTAAGTCTGGTTGAGTTCGACTATCAATTGTGAACTATCACAATCACAGATTCACAAACAACTGCGCGCAAAGCATGTGAGGTTAACCAAGAACAATGCAAAGCACATGCAAGGAACTAAGAGTAATATAGCCAGGCCAAAATCTGCTAATATTTAAAGCTCTGCAGAGACTACAAAGTTTCCCAGGGAAGCCTCTGTGTGTGAGCCTTACACAGAAGGCATCCTTATGGGGGTGGGGATAGGAGAGAGGCTCAGTCCATCAACTGATCCCAGGAGTCAGAGATGGTCTGTGTCTGACTTGCCCGCAATGGCATCCTCCCTACTCTTCCCTCTCTCTTAAGACATCTTTACACTACCAGTTATTTTACAGGGAAAACTGAAGTGACTCCAGTCATTCCACACCTTTGTTCGGACTGCTATAAAACCCCCACATCTCCCTCACCCACGTTCAGAACGGCGGGCGCTCCTCATGTCCCCTCAGCACAGGGCCCACCCACCCCCAGGGCCGCCCCACAACCGACACTCCTCAGAAGCCCCCCGTTCGGGCGCAGGCCCCTCACCCGCTCGGACGCCGGCACCTCGAAGTAGCCCTCTCCCCACAGCCGCTGGAACCGCAGCGGTTCCACCTCGCTCTCGGCCGGAGCTCCCTCAGCGCGGCCTCCGTCCGCCATAGTTGTGAGGCGCATGCGCACACCACTTCCCGCCCACTACGAAGCGAGCCGTGCGCATGCGCAACGCCGCGCGCCTCACCTCACGCATGCGCTCTGGCAAGCCCCAGTCTCACACATGCGCCGTTCGGCCCTGCCGCTCGCGCTGGGCCCGAGCAAGGGTTGCTAGGCAACGTGCGGCCTGCAGGGCCTGCGCTCAGCGGGGCGGCCCCCGCTCCCCGAATCGCCGTTCTGTCATCAACCACCTCCTTCTCGTTCCAAGCACTTGCTTTTATTGCCCGGCTCCTTCCCAACTGGGGAAGGCCAGGCTCAAGGGCGGGCTCCGGTGGTCTCCCTGTCCATGAGCACGCAGGAGTCACGGTGGGCGATGAGCGGCCTCTGCCTGTGGGTCATGGCTTCTCCTTGTTCACCCCGCTGTCCGGCTCCTGGCGCTCCCCAGCTCCCCCGCTGGTTGCCGCCTTGGTGGGAGGGCCTTCCATTGACATTGCTTCGGTGCATTCATCCAGGGGCGGTGTCACAGAAATGCGGGGTGTAGGGATGGTTTGTTTCTCACTGGTGAAGTCTTTTGTTGTATCTAATGAACAGAGGGGAAAAAAAACCCTATGTGAGGGATCACGATAACTTGCTTTAGAGGAGCAGAGCAGGCATGAGACACTGCTGCAGGACAACAAAGAGCTCTGTGACTGCCCTGACAAGAAAGGAGACACATCTGAAACTTCAGAGCTTTTCAGAGCCCCAGTGAGAGCCACTGCCCACCTGTTCCCCTCATATCCAGACCCTAGCTATTTATAAAGCTGCTTGTTAAGACCTGGCCAGCTGAGAACATAACGGGAAGCGCCTCACTTTGTGCTCTCTTTTGTGGGGCAGTGAGCAGGCAGAAGAAAGACTGAAACATCACAAATCTGAGAGATTTTACAGCACATTAATAGCAGCAGCCTGTGATGTGTCATTCCTTGATCTCTCCCTCTGCTTGCAAGACCAGGCTGGAAATAAAACTTCTCTATCTTGAAAGAAATAAGTTCAAAATGAGAGCGGATGACTGAGGTGAGTGGCAGCTCCATGTGTGCCCAGAGAGGCATCCCTGTCCCCATCCTTGTCCCCACTCCTATCCTCACCCCATCCTTATCTGTCCCCATTCCTACCCCCATTCCTATCCCCTATCACAGCACGCAGTGTGGGACCCCATTACCCTTTGTGCCTATGTCCTTGCAGAGCAGCTGCCCCATGGCTGCTGGTGTGGTCTCGGTCCCTTTGTGGTGTCCCGGCAACACGCACGTCACCAGCCCCGTTCTGACACCCCACCCCGCAGTCCACACCACGCCCCGACCCCATCCGCAAGGCGCAGGGTCGCCGTTCCACCCCCATCCCCGCCCACGTGCCCGCCCCGCCGCCAGGGGGCGCCATCGCCAGAGGGTGGCGCGCGCACCCCGGAAGCAGCGGTGGCCGCACCCGGAAGCGGCGGCGATACCCGGAAGCGGCGGCAGGGCAGGATGGACGGTAAGGAGCGCTGAGGCGGGGGCTCCGCCGTACCGGGTCTGGCGCGGTCTCGCCGTATTGCGCGGAGGCTGTGGGGCTTCCCGGCGTGGAGCGAGGCGGGGTGCGCTGGGTTCGGGCTGTCTCGGCCTGGGTTCCGGTGTGTCGTGGTGCTGAGGCCCGGTGCTGAGGCGACGCTCTCTTTCTCTTGCAGACACGCTCTTCCAGCTGAAGGTGAGCGCCCGGCGATCCCTCCGGCAGCTCCGTAACGTAGCGCCGCTCCGCGCCGCCCTCGTCACCTGGGGCCGGTAACGGCGTCCGGGCCGTGAGCCCCCCCTCCTGGCCCCTCCCGTCCTGTGCCCCGCTGTCCGCGCGAGGGCCGAATCTGCGGCTCCGCCCGGCACAGCCGCGCTCAGCCCTACGCCCCGATACGATGCCCGCACTCCGGTGTCAGTGGCAAAGCCACCCCCGGGAGGAGGGCCTGTCCCATCGGTGTTGGCATGAACAGGGCCTCTGGGTGGCGCTGCTCTGGTTTTCCTTAGCTAACAGAAGAAGGGAGTGTAGGGTGTAAGAGTAATTGTAATGTACGCATTTAAAAAAAAAACAACAAAAAACAAAAAAACTGAGCTGCCACTTTTCTTGACTGGAATGGAAGACCCTGGCTTGCTGAGATCTGCAGCGTCCTGCTGCTGCTCTGCTCGGCTTGTCGCTGCCAGCAGCTACGGGAAGAGGGAGCTCATCAGCCGAGCTTGTGCCTCAGGCAACCACTGCCAAACTTGTCCCCATCTTCACAGCAAGAAAACTGGTCCCCAGCGTGCTGTGTACTCTGAGAGCTTCCCTTCATACAACCAGCGTTGCAGCCCTGGAGGGAGTTGACACCTCCTCAGAACCTGATGGATCCCTGCTAAGCTAGGAAGCTGTACCAGCTCACAGAGCTCGTGTTGGCACCTTGTATGTGCCCTGTGAGCGGCCAGTGCCACAGAGGTGTTGCTGCTGCTGGCTCCCCTGCTGTGTCCTAGCACTAACCCGCAGCTCTCTCTCCAGTTCACAGCGAAGCAGCTGGAGAAACTTGCCAAAAAAGCTGAGAAGGACTCCAAGGCGGAACAAGCCAAAGTCAAGAAGGTGCGTGGGCGTTTGTCACAAAGTCATGATGCTGGCAGTCTGGATGCTGCACTGAGCAGCTGGACATCCTGCCTTCTTTTGTGCCCCACCAGCTATGTGCTGCTGACAGATGGAGAAAAAGGGGCAGTTTCTTCTCTTGCTCTCAGTATATTTTGAAATCTCACCCTGAGATCTTGAATCTGCTGAGCAGATGTGGTGCGTCACTGTGACACAGAGGGATTTAATTCCCTTCCAAGGATGTGCTCAGTGTTTACAGAAGTCGCAGATGAGCTGTTTCCTGCTGAAAGTCTGTCAGGCAGAAAAGGGGAGTGCTTGTTTATAAATATGGAGTGGTTTCTTGGTGCAGGCGGTTGCCCTTTGCTCTTCCAGGCCCTTCAGCAGAAGAATGTGGAGTGTGCTCGTGTCTATGCAGAGAATGCCATCCGCAAGAAGAACGAGGGGCTGAACTGGCTCCGCATGGCTTCCCGAGTGGATGCGGTGGCCTCCAAGGTGCAGACAGCAGTGACAATGAAGGGGGTAAGAGCCTTTGTTCTTCTCAGAGCACGGGGTTCTGAGAGCAGTCTGTGCCCTGTGTAGTGTTGGCTCCTCCCTTCTTATCTGCCTTGAACCTTGGACTTCCTTGTTCTCAGATGAGGATCCTGTAAAGCTTTGTAATGAGCCCAGTCACTCTCGATGTAGTGAAGCTTCTGACATGCCCACAGAGAGCTCTCCGAGCTGATTTATTATGGCTCTAATTAAGGAGGCTCATGCCTGCTTTCTTGTCTGTGCTAGCCATTGTATGTGTGTTTACAGAGAAGTGGGCTGGGACCCGTCCCCCTTGGAGCTGCAGTGGTGTGGTACCTTGGGCTGTGCTCCGCCTAGGGCTGTGTGCCAGGGTTTTACTTTCATCAGGGATGACTTTGTTTCTGGACAGCATCCCTGAAGCAATATCCTCTTGCAGGTGACGAAAAACATGGCTCAGGTGACCAAGGCTTTGGACAAAGCTCTGAGCTCCATGGACCTGCAGAAGGTGTCTGCGGTGATGGATAAGTTTGAGCAGCAGGTTCAGAATTTGGATGTTCATACATCGGTAAGTGGAGATGGCCTTGAGGGGTCTAGGTGGACTGGGACTGCTCTGTGTGTCAGGTGTATGAGAGACATTGGGCAGGACACAGCACTGCTGCCTAGCAAAGAAAGTGTTTGCTGTATAAAGGGGCAAACCAGCAGGCAAGGGAAGAAAAGCAAAGATGCTGTCCCAGCTAGAGGTTGCTCAGATGGAGCTGTGGAGGACTGCACCTCCCCCTTTATGCTTTACCCATGAGGTGGGCTGACAGGCTGTCTCTGTTGCAGGTCATGGAGGACTCCATGAGCTCCGCTACCACACTGACCACACCACAGGAGCAGGTAGACAGCCTCATTGTACAGATCGCAGAGGAGAATGGTTTGGAGATCATGGACCAGCTCAACCAGCTCCCCGAGGGTGCTTCAGCAGTAGGGGAGAGCTCAATGCGCTCCCAGGAAGACCAGCTGTCACGGAGGTTTGTTCTCTCCCAGGTCCTTCACCTCATGCTGAGGCGGTTTTGAGTTCTTCCCAGGGGTCTCTCACTGATGTGAGCAGTCATTTAAGCAGTATGGTTGGCTGAGTGGATGCTGAGCCCTTGGTGGCACTAGCTCAGGCAAGCTAGAAGCCTGCAGCATCTGCCAGGCAGCCCCTGTGGTGCTTTGTGAGGCCTGGGAAGGGTGCAGTCAGGCAAAGTAGCCATTCGGTTAGTTAGTTAGTGATGGGGGCGGCTGCTGGCACCTGGCTTCTCTCGATCCGGAGCAGAACCATCTGCCCCTGCTCTGTGCTCATCCTCACGCAGCTGCTACTGCTATGGAACGCTTGATGTTGACCTTCAATCAGCTCCAGGAACAGGCTGTTTTGCTGGAACTGCCCCAGGAGGAACCAATGAGCTTCCTCTCCCTGCTCCCTCCCTGCTGCTCCCCATGAGGCTGCAGCCGGAGTCCCTCTGGAGGCTTCTGTGCAGAGTTGTGTCCTGCACAGCCTGGCTGGTGGGTCCTTCAGGCTGTTCCTGGCTGCTCTCATGCCAGATTCCTCTTGTCTTTTCCCTTTCAGGTTGGCTGCCTTGCGGAATTAGATCTCCTGTTACCCCTGCGGACTGCTGCCATGCTGGTTGTATGGTGTATGGGGATGGAGGGACTCAGGACTCCTTTGTCTCTGCCTTTACCACGTCCTTGCTCTGACCTGCTGGCTGGGCAGGGCCAGCTCCTCCTGCAGCAACGTGTCCCCAGCCCTGTCCGCCTCCCTGCAGACTCTTCTTTTGGGGTGCAGTAGTGACCAGAGCAGGCAGAGATCCCGACAGGGGGTGTGGAGCCAAGGACAGCCCTTCTCTGGGCTTGATGAGTACTTTGCTGTTTCTTATTTTAGGGTGTTTTTCATTTGAGGGTTGCTGCTGGCTTCTCGCAGCGTCCCGTGATGCAATGTGATTTAACACTAAATGAATCCTTTTGGAGGTGGGCCACAGTGTCTCCTGGGGTGCTGGCTGCCTGTCTCTTCCCTGTGTAGCCTGCTTCTGTTGTTACCTGCTTTTGGGCTTCTGTACTGTGGGCAGCACTTTGCTGGGGACCTACAGCAAGTGTCTGTCCACATGGAGAAGATTTACAGCGGGGGTGGGGGAGGCTATGGTGTTTCTGGGGGGTTTGTGCCTTGCAGGAAGCAGTGCCCTTGCCCAGCTCTCACTGCTTGGTCCGTAGCCATACGTGGGTGCCCTGCTTGCGGGCTTCTCCTTGCAGATTCACCTCATCATGGCAGGCCAACCACCCTTGCTTATCTTGACCACAAAGTGACCTTTAAAACCCTCCTCCTGCCCTGCACAAGCCTGTGTGTGTGAATCCTTGCATCTACCACCTCCCACCAGTACGGTTTGGCAGTGAGGTCTCTGTGCCATGACTTAACCGTGTGCCCGGTCCATGCCCAGTGCCCTGCAGCTGGGAGAGGATCTCAGCTGCTCTCAGCCTTGGTTACTCATCCCAGCCTTCTGCTGCTGGATGGGTTTGCTGGTGTAAATACCAAACTGCCCTGAGTGTGCATCAACCAGCCCTGTGCTCTGCCTGGCCCCTGGCTCTCCCTGCTGCCATTCCCACTCTGCTATCCCCACCTTGCTGCATCTGTGGTGTGTGTGAGCTGCTGCCTGCACTGGGGTGAGAGGTGCTGCTCTGCTCCCACCTCCCACAGTGGAACATAACTGCTCAGAAAACCTTCCTTTGGGCTGAGGTTTTCGCTGCCCCTTCTCACAGACGCCACCGAGGTACAGGGTGGATTGAGAGCTTACAGGAAGGACAAAAAGTTTCCTTTGTCTCTTACAAAGGGGACTTCCAGGCTGCAAACAGTGTGCTGCAGCTGTCTGGCCCTGCAGTGCTGGAGCCAAGCTGTGAGCATGCAGCCAGCCCTGCTGTGGAGCGGCAGCTTCACTTCATCGGCTGTAATGGGAACTTCCAGTCATGTGCAGCTGCAGTGGGAATGGGGCCTTGGCTGCTATCGGCAGGGCAACAGCAACGTGGGGAGAGTGCAGGCAGCTCCATCCTTCATCCTCCGGTGCTGGCACCCAGCCCCAGGGTCATGGACACTGCAGCGCTTGTAACAAAAACAATTCTCACTGCTTTGATTATTTTTTCTGAGTTCAATGGCCGTGGCAGCACGTGGCTGGTGACCAGAAGAGCCTTCTTCCCTCGTGTGCAGCTGTAGGGATGTGGGGTGGTGACGAGGGCATGGGAGGTGCCTGCACCATGGAATGGCACTGCTGCTAGCTCCTGGCCCTGCATGGGCACCATGTGTGGGGCTGGGAACTGGGATGAGGCCCAGGGAGACCGAGACCCTGCCCCTGGAGTCAGTCCCTTTTCCCATCTGATTTTTCTCTGTGTCTTGATCCGTGGTGGTATTTTTTTAAAGCCTGTCTCGTTTGCCTTTTTTCTTCTCCAAAACCCTGTTGATTACCTAATGCTGTTTTAAATAAACACTCTGAACATCCATCGTAGTGTGCACGGGGTTTTAGGCAGAAGAGGGGGGTCTGGGCTGTGCCTGTTCTCTGCTGTGGGTTGAAAACCCAACTGCAGCAGGGGGCAGCACCCACTGTGGGCTGAGCTGAGGAGGAAGGGACCCATTCCTTCAGCCTTCCTGCTCAGGGAAAGGGCAGGTAGCGCCTGCTGGGGGTCACAGCCTCTGGGGGTGGCTCAGTAGAAGGCCTCTCATGTGCTGAGGACACTGAGTGGGCACGTCCCCGCAGAAACCACTTCCCTTCCTGTGGTTGTGCTGGGGGAACCGGGCAAGCAGGGACCGCTGCAGCCGTGGCACAGCCAACACAGCCCAGGATGACTGCCTCCTTTCTAGATCCTTTTTCCCAGTTTTGTTTTTGGGCTGCTGAGCTCATTGCACTCTTCCCCACACCTTTCCCTTGCCCTTCTGAGAAGCTTGGGCTTGCCGAGGGGAAGCCCCCGGCTCCATGAAGTAAGTAAGCTCCAGTGTTTCCCACCACGCAGACCCGGACCTGCCACCAGCATCCACCACCCATGGGTGCCATCCTGGTGGGACTGGGGCTCATCCCCTCCCTGCTCCCTGCTGGCAGAGTGGGCTTTGTGCCTCAGCCAAATTGTGAATGCCACAGGAAGATGACTCTCCTTCACAAGCTTGTTTTCGTGGTGCCCAGAGCTGCCTCCGCTCCAAAGACAGGCTGTTCCCAAATGTGAGAGGAAATTGCTAAGAAGATGATTGAGTAGCCAATTAATTAGCTAATGATTAATGTAAGCATCCTGCGGAGGCAGCCCCGCTGCCACCCTGGCCGCGTGTTGTTGCAGTGATGTCTCACTCCTGCTGCAGTGACAGCCCGAACACCGAGCAGGATGGCTTTATTTTGTGACTGGGCTGGGGCAGGACGTGGGCACTATGGCAGCAGGGTGCTGAGCAGGGGCAGCACCAGCACCAGGGCTGCTGGCAGGGGCAGGGCTGGGCTGGCATCAGTGGTGGTGGTGGTGGTGTAGCCATAGCTTGTGCGGCACTCTCCTTCCAGCTCCTCCAGGGCGATGGGCTCCTCGAGGGGCAGTGTGCCCTGCAGGGATGCCTTCACCTGCAGGGCCAGGGAGAGTTTGCATCACAGGGTGCTTTGTGCATCTGTGTGTGCTGCTCAGACCCCTGCTCTGCATGTCCCCCATCCATCCTATGTGCCCATTCTCCCCATGCATCCTCATGACCCATTTGTTCATGTTCTAATGCACCCCAGTGCCCTCCACATCCCTGTGCCCAGTGCATAACCCTTTGCCCCATCCACTTCCATGCCTCCCTTTACCTCCCCCATTCCCCACTCACCGTCTCCACACTCTTGAACACCCTCAGCAGGTTTTTGGCCAGCGCTGCGCTCACCTCCTGCTCCGTCCAGTTCCTGGCCAGCAGCTCCGCCACCAGCGCGGGGTACTTGGAAACGTCCTCCAGCCCCGTGGGCAGCCTGTGGCACCCACAGCTCAGAGCCCGACATGGGAGCACCCCAATCCAGCAATTCCCAGTGGACACCCCACGCCCAGGGTCACCCCTTGGCCACTCCATCCCGCTTCCCACGTGCCATCACCCACTTTACCCTGTGACACCATCATAGTCCCCGCCAAAGCCGACGGATTCAATGCCTGCCACTTTCTTCACATGGTCCATATGGTCTGTGGGCACAGAGGGGCCAGGTGAGGGGATGGGGTGACACTGTCCTCACCTCATCCCTGCCCGCTGCCTCACCTGCGACATCAGCCAGCGTGGCTGTGTTGCTGCAGGTCACATACTGGTTGTAGAAGTTGACCATCACCAGGCTGCCTGTGGAGGCCTGCAGGAGAGGTGGCCCTGAGTCCTGTGGCACTGTGCTGGACCCCCTCCACCCCCAGTGCTCCCATCGGGTGCTCACCACCATCTGCAGCACATCGTCGGGCACATTGCGGGCGTGTGGGCAGATGCTGTAGGCAGAGGAGTGGCTGAAGATGACGGGAGCTTTGGAGACGTTCAGTGCCATCTTCATGGTCTCCACTGAGACATGAGCCAAGTCTATGATCATGCCCAGGCGGTTCATCTCCTCCAGAACTTTCTGTAGGGAGGGGGGCAGGGGTAGGGACAAGGCAGTGTGAGGACACCATGCCCTCAGGACTGGCTGGTCCACGGCACTGCCACCCAGCTCCATCCCACTCACCTTCCCAAACGGTGTGAGGCCGTGGTGCACAGGTTGTTCCTCCTCAGTGTCCACCAGCCAGTTGTCAGCCCTGTGCCACGGGGACAGCATCAGACCCCGAGCCTCATCCCCATCCCCATCCCTGCCATCCCAACGACAGTTCCACGGTGGGGTACCAGGGTGTGTTGCAGCTGTGTGTCAGGGTCATGTAGCGCACGCCCAGGCGGTAGAAGGTGCGCAGCACCCCCAGGCTGCTGTCGATGGAGTGGCCGCCCTCCACACCAATGAGGCTGGCCACCTTCTTGTTCTGGAATGCCTGCTCGATGCCTGCAGGGGCACAGCGAGTGCTCAGCTGGGGACAGACACCCATAGCCTCGTGCCCCTCGCAGCCATCCCCCCACCCGCTCACCTGTGCTAGAAACAACGCAGGCGAAGGTCTCGGGGTACAGCTCACACATGCGGTGCACCACGTCGATCTGCTCCAGCGTGCGCTTCACTGCGTCCTTGTTCTGCGTGTCGCAGGGCACGTACACCGACCAGAACTGGTGGGATGGCAGCTGGTGAGCACCCGGAGCCCCAGCTTGCTGCTTTGGTGCCCGTGCCCTGCTTGCTGTCCCACCTGGCCGCCCACGTGTCCAGTGTTCAGCTTGGGGATGTTGGTGTGGGTGTTGTTCAGTTGTGTCAGGTTGGATGCCGGCAGCAACAGTTGGTTATTGAACAGTTTGAGGAGCTGCCACGGCAGGTCGTTGTGCCTGGGCCAGGGAGAAAGTGGGAGCAGGGGGTTGTCTGCCCAACTGATCAATCATTTGGCTGCCCATCTGCCTTCCTGCTTCATCATCCATCCATCCACCCATTAGGCACCATTCATCCCCCACCATCCATCCATCCACCCATCCTCCCCTTCCTCCCTCTTCCCTTTGCCCCTCCCTCCCTCCACATCTGCCCCTCCCTTCTCCTGCCCCTTCCTCCATCCATCCATCTGTCCCACCCATCCATCTCTGCCACCAGGAAGTGATGCCCAGGATTAGGGGTGTGGTTCCCCTGCAGAAATACCCCCCATGCAGCCCCCCCCACTCATCCCCAACCCGCTCCTTTCTCCCTGCATGTCTCCAGCCCCACATCTCTGCACAGGGCTGTCACCACCACCGCGTGCTGTTAAGGGCTCAGCAGCATCACTGGGGAAGAGCTGGGTCTCCCACGGCCCCACATCCCTTGGCTCCCACAGCTCCACTCCCACTGCCTGGGGTTCTCTGGGCTGCATGATGGCCCCGTACCCATGTGGGCACCACTGGGAACAGTAGCATGGTGGAGGACTGGGGACATCCCTAAGGACACGATCCTGCAGGACTTCCCCTGGGGCAGCCTGACCCCACCGCTTCCCAGCACCACTCCTGACCTGGCTGCCGGGGTTCCCCCCAGCCACACAGCCCCAGGTACCACGTGGAATCCCCCGGTAGGGCCATTCCCATACGTCCCTCGAGAGCTCCATGCGGGCATTCCCAGGACAGCGCCGTTCTTATGTGGTGTCCCTGGGGTGCTCAGTGAGGGCATTTCCCAGGCAGGTCCATGGGATTTTCTGAGCTGGGGATTTCTCAGGGAACCGAGAGCCCATCCCGCAGTGCCATGCAAGCTTTGGAGCGGACGCGTGGCCTTGCTTACCCATCGATGACCGGTGTGGAGTTCATGATGCGCTCAGCCTCCTGCTGGAACGTCTGCCCTGAGCAGGGCAGCAGCAGGCACAGCAGCAGCACGATCCTGCGCAGCATCCTCGCGTGGCGTGCCGGTGGTGGGCTGAGATCGCTGCCCTGCTGCTGCAGGATCCCGCTGAGCGCTCCCACACTGCTGACTGCTCTTTCCCGTGGTAAATCAATAACCAGCACTGGGGCCATAAACCCACCCTTGCACCCTGCACCCCAACCCCGGCAGTGCCTGGGCACCGCGACGGCCTCTGCAGCGCAGCGCAGGGTAACACGGGGACGCGCATAGCTGTGGTTACGCTCCCGGCCCCTCTAACGCAGCACAGATTTTTTCTGCTGGGAAAAATGCTGTTCCAAGCCCCTCCTCGGCCTCCCTGTCCCAGCACCCCCTGCCCCAACCCGGCACCCATAGCCCCATAGAAGCACCTCCAGCCCCATGCCCCTCATGCCATGGGGTCTGGCACCCCTGTCCCCAGCTCACCACCAGCCCCGGGACACTCAGGCAGCTGCTCCCTGTCGTGGCTCTGAAAAATGTGTTCTTGCTTGCGTGCCGTGCAGAGCTGGAACGGGCTCCGGCCACCCCAGAGCCAGCCCCCATCATGGCTGCGGGCGGGGGCCGAGCACCAGGGCACCCCACAGCTCCATGCCTCGGCCACCCAGCTCTGTGGGCTGGGAGACAGCATTAGGGTGGCACAGCCAGTGGTGTTGGTGCTGCGGGGGGAAACTGAGGCACACATCCACTCTGCAGTGCATCCTGTATACAGGGCCATGGGTGGCCTTGGGAACTGCAGTGGCCATATGCTGGGAGTGGCGTGGAGTCACACAGAGCAGCACCGGCCCCAGAACCTCATCCTGGGGTGATCAAGCTGGAAACCCCCCTGCAGCACAGTGAGCACAGCCATAGGGCACCAAGGCCTCTACCACATGGAGCGTGGCATGGGACTGGCACCCCGCAGCACAGGAGTCACCTATGGGGCCAGTGAAGCTTCTGAGCTCTCCAACCCCTTGGGGCTCGCAGCCCCCCAGCGCTCCCCACATCCCCCGTGGGCTCAGCCATGTGCTCCCCATGGTGGCCCCATCCCCGGATGACCCCACAGCCCCATCCCTGCGGCCCCGTTCCCCTCGTGCCGGCCCCGCGCAGCCGCCCTCGGCCTCCTGCCAGGAATGTGTCAGGGAGGGGGGGGGGAGTCCCACCCTACGCCCTCTGCCTGCCTCTCAGGCTTCCTCTTCTGCAACTATTTAACCGCCGTCCCATCGCGTCCGGTACAGCCGGGCCATGGAGCGCCTGGAGGTAACGGAGACCTTTGCCGGCATCGCGCTGCCTGGGCACCTCCACACTGCAGAGTCCCTGCAGTTCGCCACCAGCTTCCCCTTCCGTGACACCGATGTGGTCATCGTCACCTACCCCAAGTCGGGTAAGTGGCACCGGGTGGGGAGGGGACAGGGATGGGATGGAATGGGGCTCTCTGACACTCAGCCATTGCTTCCAATGGGCCCCGGCACTGCCTGCGTGGCCAGGAGCTGGGCCAGCCCTACGCAAACACCATCCCCTCCCAGCACAGCCCCACAGCTGGGGGTCCCGGCCCCACACCATGCAGGAGGGGATGGCCACTCCACACCCTCCCCTGCTACAGCCCGGCCACAATCCCACCCCCAGCCCGGAGCAATGGGTGGGGGCTCAAAGGGGCAGTGCTCCTGTACTGCACTGCCTGTCCAGCTGTGCCCCGTGCCACGTAGCACCGTGATGTGTTATTGCACACAATGCCCTGCTGCGCTGATCTGTGCTGTGGTGCACTGCAGTGTGTGCCAAGTGACACTGCTGTGCAGAGCCGTGCAGTGATAAGTCAAGCCACACAGTGCTGTATCATGCTGTGCCATACCAGGCTGTGCTATGCCATGCTATGTGGTGCCATAACATGCCATCCTGTCCCAATCTGTTTTATACTATGCTATGCCATGCTATGCTGTGCCATATCAAGCTGTGCCACGCCATACCACGCTGTGCCATACGTTGTGATGCCATGCCATGCCGTACCTTGCCGTGCCATGCTATGCTGTGCCATGCTGTGCCATGCTGTGCTGTATCAAGCAATGCCATGCCGTGCCACTCTGTGCCATATTGTTCCATACCATGCAGCGTCACGCCATGTTGCACCAAGCCGTGCCGTGCCATGCCATGCCGTGCCGTGCCGCGGTGCCCCGTGCAGGCTGGAGGTGCCCTGACGGCAACCTCCCCAGGCACCACGTGGATGCAGGAGATCCTGACACTGCTGTACAGCGGTGGGGACGCGCAGCCGGCCAAGACCATCCCCAACTGGGAGCGGGCGCCCTGGCTGGAGCAGATCCACTTCCGCAGCTCGCTGCGGGACGCAGCCATGCACCGCCTCATCACCAGCCACCTGCCTGCCCGCGTGCTGGGCCCCCGGCTGCAGGGCAGCAAGGCCAAGGTGAGGGGTCCCCCAGCTGAGGGTCTGTGGGTGCACCCAATGGCTGTGGGTAAGTCAGCTCGCGGGGCAGCTGAGCCTGGGAAAACCTGAGTCCGTGTTCCCCCCCATCAGGTGATCTACGTGGCCAGGAACCCCAAGGATGTGGTGGTCTCCTATTACCACTTCCACCGCCTGGCCAAGTTCCTGCCTGACCCTGTTTCCTTTGACGCCTTCCTCCAGCAGTTCCTGGAGGGCAAAGGTAAGGGCTGGGGAGATGTGAGGGCCGTGCTGGGGGCAGCTGCTGGCCCCCGTCACCTGCTTCATCCCCTCAGTGCACTACGGCTCGTGGTTTGAGCATGTCAAGGGCTGGCTGGGCCAGCGGCAGCTGCTCGACATCATCTACATCACCTACGAGGAGCTGCACGAGGTGAGCCCCGTACCCCTGCATCCCCCATCCCCACATCCCCCATCCCCATCTCACCTGCCATGCCCAGGACCTGCGTGGCACAGCGCAGCGGCTCAGCGCATTCCTGGGCGTTACGCTGGAGCCGCAGACGCTGTTGGCACTGGAGCAGCACTGCAGCTTCGCAGCCATGCGGGACAACGCCATGGCCAACTACACCCTGATCCCCCGCGAGATCATGGACCACAGCCAGGGCCGCTTCATGCGCAAAGGTGAGAGCGGTGCACGGGGCAACGCCGCGGGCACGGCGGTGCTCCTCGAGGGCGGTGCCAGCGCTGCCGTCCTGCAGGCGTGGTGGGCGACTGGCGCTCCCACTTCTCACCGCCGCAAAACGCCCTCTTTGACCGCGTGTACCACGAGGAGATGCGCGACGCCGAGCTGAGCGCCCACTGGGCCATGGTGTGAGGGATGGGCAGCCCGCACAGCGCACAGCGCACGTCCCTGGGATGTGGAGCAGCGGCTCCGTGCCCCACGGCGGAGCGGATCCCGGCTGAGCGCCGCCGCCGCCGTCCCCAAGGCTGCCGTCCCCTGGTGGCCGTGACCGCCCGACCCCTCTCTTCCTGCAGCGCGGCGGGGAGCGCGGCCCCGCTTGGGAAAGAATAAATATTTATTGCCATTCTCAGGCCGGCACTGTGTTCCCAGGGTGGGGGCTGTGCTCTGGCGCCGGGAAGTGCCGGCGTTATCGGGGTGGGGGCCCATCATCCCAGGGCACTGTCCGGGTGTGGCCGTGGCAGGGCGGTCGGGACATCCTATAGCATGACTGTGGAACTCCATCCCAGCGCATTCCCGGATCTCCTGCACTGCCCTCGTGCCCTGCGGCACCGCCTGCCCCATCCCCGGCTGCCTGCCAGCAGCAGCCTTACAAAGAGATCATAAAGAGATAGTGAACCCCATCACCTGAACATCGACTAGTGGCAGCGCACACCCCACACCCACGGAGGGACACAGCCCTGGCGGGGGGGGGGGTCTCAGCCCTCCCTGCCCGTACCAAGGGCCGAACACAGCCGCAGCCCCAATGGGTTTCTATGGCAACGTCCGTTATCTGGCTTGATTGGAATGAATCAGGCGCTATAAATATGATGGATTGGGCACCGTGCTCTGCCCATTGCCGGTAGCATCCCCACACCCAACAGTGCTGCTCTGGGACAGGGACGCAGCCACAGCATGCGGGCACGGCTGCAAGGACAAGCCCCGTGCCATCACCCTGCCAGGGAACAGCACAGCCCCAGTGGGGACACATGGGGCAGGGCTTGGGGCACACAGCAGTGGCACTGTGCATAGAACAGGGCTTGCAGCACACGGCGTGTGGCACACAGCACATGGCAAATAGCACATGGCAAATAGCACATGGCACATTGTGCATGGCAAATAGCACATGGCACGCAGCACATTGCGCATGGCAAACAGTGCAGGGCAAAACAGCACATCAGCACAACGCATGGCACACAGCAGCACTCAGCAGGCAGCCCATGGCATGGCACAAGGCCCAGCACACAGCACATGGCATGGCACGCAGCATGCGGCGCAGCACTCAGCACCTTGGCACAGGGTACGTGGCACACACAAGGCACACAACATGGCACAGCACCAAGAACAGCCAGCACAGCACACGGCACGTGACACACGGCACAGGCATCGTGCAGGAGGGCACCTCTCCCTGCCTCCATGCCCTGGATTTTCATGCTGCCGAGGCAGCACGGTGGGGCAGCAGCAGCACAACTTGAAAGCAAAAAAGTACAGCAGCTACAAAGCGCTGCTGCCTCTCCTCTCATTCAGCAGCCGGTGGCTTTCAAGTGACAAATCCCTGCTAATGAGAGACGTGGCCAGGTGCTGGGCAGCTGGGAGCCGCTTTCAGTTTTTGTTCCCTTCCATCGCTGCCTTCCTGCTACAGAATGAAGCTGTACCCACGGGTAGGGCACCAGAGCGGAGCAGTGGGCTGCATCCCCCCATCCCCACACCCCACATGGTGCCAGTGGTTGGGGATTCTGTGTGATGCAGCAGCACTCCATGGGTCCCCGTGCCCAGAGAGCAAATGGCAGAGGGAAAGGGCAGCTTGCTTTATTGGCCCAAGGATGGGTTTGTCATGCAGCCTCAAAACAACAAGGAGACAGACAAGCACGGAGCACAGGAACCACGGGGACAGCAGGGAATGGAGTTGGAACATGGGGGGCTGGGGACTCAGCCACCCCCAAATAATGTGGCACAGCATCCCGCAGCAACACTGGGGCTGTCCTCGTCCCCATACAGGCACACTCACTGGGGCGAGCCCAGGCTGGAGTCAGGGGTGTGGGGCTGGGGGCAGCGCGGGGGGAAGGCCTTGTAGCTGTAGTACTCCACCACCTGTTTGGGCACCTCGGCCAGCACGCACTTGGCCAGCGCCGTCGGGGACGCCTGCGGGATGGGGTGGGATGGGTGAGCCAGGGGTCGATGGCACCCAACACAGGGGGCACAGGGTAGGGGATAGGAGAGCTGGAGGACCCACTCACGTTCTTGAAGTCACGGAAGGGGACAAACTGGACGATGTCACGCAGCACAGGCTCACCCCGGGGGGAGCGCAGGATGCCGTCGTCACCATCCAGGATCTGCATGTCGGTGAAGTCGGCGTTGCCCACCCCCACGATGATGATGGACATGGGCAGGTAGGAGGCACGGACGATGGCCTCCCTGGTGTCCGCCATGTCTGTCACCACGCCATCCGTCAGGATCAGCAGGATGAAGTATTGCTGGGGACAAAGGGACATCAGGGACACCCCCTGTGCCATGCACCCCATGCACGTGGGGGAAATGTGCGCACAGGGCCGTACCGATGCCTCCTTGGTGCGCTCCTCATCGGCTGCCACGCGGGCCACCTTAGTGATGATGGGGGCCACGTTGGTGGGGCCATACAGCTGGATTTTGGGCAGGCAACTCTGGTAGGACTCCACCACACCCTGAATGCCTGTGGAGATGTGGGGTGAGGGGGTGCCAGCACGGCTGGGGTGCGTGGGGACGGCATTGGGCACCAATGGGGCTGCACTCACCCTCGCACTCGTCGTTGTCAGGATTAAAGTTGATGGCGAAGTCATGGGAGACCTGAGAGGGCAGAGGGGCAAAGGCAGCTGGGGGAAACAGAGTGGGCACATCCCAGGGGTCTCAGTGCATCCCAGGGGCCCCAACCCCATACCTCGTACTTGGGGGGGATCCGCGCACCAAAGCCCAGAGCAGAGAACTTCTTGTCGCTGCAAGGGAAGGGGTGTGTAGGGCCCCAGCTTGGTGGATGGCAGCACTGAGGGGTGCCATCTGGCTGTCCTGCCCTCACGGTGGCCATCGCTGCAGTGTCCCAGCCCTGGGTTGCCCCCACCTGTCATAGTCCTGGCAGATCTCGCCCACCGCCACAAGCGCCTTGAGGTACTCGTTGGGCTGGTAGGGGTTGATGTAGTGCAGGGAGCAGCTGTTGCGGGGATCCCCGTTGGAGGCTGTGAAGTCGATGGCCACCTGGTGCAGGGGGTGTCGGTGAGGTCCCCGGTGCCCCCTGAGCAGCTGTCCCAGCACCATGATGTGGCCCCCCCCGATGGAGCAGTGCTCACCGTGAAGTGGATCTGGCAGCCGCCCATGATGTAGTCCAGGAAGGAGTAGACCCTGTGGATCTGTCAGACCGACCCACGTCAGCTACTGGTGCCCCAGCAGCAGCCTGGCACAGCACAGCTCAGCACGACATGCGAGCACTCACCTTCAGGTCCAGCAGCACCACGATCCCCGAGTTCTTGTAGTTGCGCTTCTTGATTTTGTACTTGGGGTTCATGCACTCCCACTGCACCTGCAGCATGCGGCACCCGCGCTGCCCGGGTTCAGCCCCACAGCCCCCAGCCCCACTGTGCTGCGGCCCCACAGCTCCCAGCCCTGTACCCCAGCCCTGGCAGATGGCTGCAGTCCCATCTATCCCTTCCCCAAAGAGAAACCAGTGGAGAATCTGGGAGGAGCCTCCTGGAACAGGGCCTGATGGCAAGCCCAAAGGCTGTGCCGCAGCCCTGCTGGCCACGTCCCCATGTCCCCACCTTGTTCTCTCCCATTGCCTTCTGCATCTCCTCGAAGGTGGTGAAGAACTCTCCGATAAAGTCATGCTTTCCCCGTGAGTCGTAGTCCCACACGACGCACTGTAGGGACACAGGTCAGCACTGCCCAGCTGTGTGCCCCCATCACCCCCACACCCACCCAGGGATGGGGTCCCATCGCCCTTCCTCACCCTCAGCTTCCTCTTCTCCTCACAGCTGCAGAGGGAGTTCAGAGAGACCTTGAAGGGCTCCCAGATGGGGCTCAGGTTGTTCTTCACCACCTGGGGGCAGGAGGGCTCATCAAGGCCAGCCACCTATAGGGTGGCCATGGGATGGAGCCAGCCAGCCTCACCTCAGTGCGGTACACCAGCTGCTCACTGCTATCATCGTCGATGCGGTAGATCTCCAGGAAGGGGTCAGACTTGCTGAAAAGGTCCTGGAGAAGAGAGGATGGGGCCAGGTGGAGCAGAGGACTTCAACCATCCCATCCATTTATCCAATGCATCCCATCTGTTCCATCTCAACCCATCCAACCCGTCCTGTCTCATCCGGCCCATCTCATCTCATCCAGCCCATCCCACCCTATCCGCTCTGCTCACAGGCTGCTCACCTTGTCATCCAGCTTCTTCGCCCTAAAGGCCAGCTCCACGTAGCCATTGTTCCCTGAGATCTCCTCAGAGATGACCTGCCAGGACACCCAACCACAGGGAGCTTGGTGTTATTCCCCCGCCATCCTTCCCTCCCCATCCCATGTCCCATTTTGGTGTCACCACGCACCCAGCCCAGCATCACTCACCGTGATGGTGGATTTCCCCGCAAACTTCCCATATTTGAGGAACAGCGGCTTCGTCACCCGTTTCTGTGCCACAATCTGCCAAACAGGATGGGCTCAGTGCGGACGCAGCCTGCAGGTGATGGGGACCAGCACGGTGGGGGCTCACCTGTCCCACAGTGCACTCCATGCCCCCCAGGAAATCATCATCATGTGTGCCCACGCCGGCCTGCCCATGGCTGTCGTACACCTCAAAGCGCAGCTTCTGCACCTCCTCAAAGTAGTAATCCACCGTGAAGATCTTGGCAAATACAGGGTTCAGGTTGCTCTTGATGACCTCGCTGCGGTCCACCTGTGGGGCACAGGGTCACAGCAGCCTGGCGCCAGTGTTTGGGACCCAGCATGGTGGGGGAGAGACTGCACGGCCACCAGCCCCTCAAACGGTTCTGCAGAACCTCCAGAAAGCACTTCTAATAAGCTGGGACTTGCTCAGTAGAGGCAATTATGGTCCGCTCTCCTGTCAGTGAAATTCAGCCTTCAATTGGCTCAAGTGCACGACGTTGGGGCTGTGAGGCACGGGGCTGGAGGCAGCTCAGGGCTGGAGCCACACAGGTGGAGCTGCCTGGAGCTGGGTTATGGGCACAGGGACTGTAGGAACGCAGGGACAGTGGGATGTGGTGGTACAGGGATGCAGGAACATGGGGACACAGGGTATGAACAAGGTGACACACGGATGTAGAGTCAAAGGAACACAGGGATGCAGGAACAAAGGAAGCAGGGACACCAGGGAGCTGCTGGATGGACCATTAATTCGTGCACAAGCGTTTCTCTGCTCGCACTGATCCTGTGGCTAAAGCACACCACTGCAGCACCGTACCCGATATGGGAGCAAGGGGTGTCCCTGAGTGCCAGCACTGGGTCCTGGGGCAATGCGCTCTGCAGGGCAAACCCCATATCAGTGGGGCTGCAGCCAAGGGGATGCTTGTGCTCTGGAGCATCCTTTGGTTGGACCCAGAGAGCTGGCAGCAGGAGAGGGGCTCGGCACCAGTGGGCCTGCACCTTGCATGTGGGGCTGCATCCCATTGAGGGACCCCCACTACTTGCTTTGGCTCCAGCTCATAGAGTCAGTTATATGCAGAGGGATTTAATGCTAAATCTGCTGGCTGAGCAGCTCTGATTAGTGAGCGTGGAACCACTGGAGCCAGCCAAGAGCTGTGCTGGGAGGCAGCCACAGGAAGGAACCAAGCACCCCATGACCCACTGGGACCCACGCACTGTGAGCACCCTATTTTTGTGTGCTGCCACAGACGCTGAGCTCCAGGAGGTTCGCTCCAAGCCAAAGCCCTGTGCTGCCCCAGCATCCCGCAGTGCCCTGCCATGGGGCTGTGCCCTGCACCTTGCTCCCCATGTCCTTCACCCCACCCTGAGCCCTGCACATTGCACCCAGCTCCGTGCCCCGCACCTCACGCCTGGCTCCCATCCCACAGACACCGCACCCACCTCGGCTCCATCCCTGCCCCAATCCCCATCCCACCACCCCGCCCTGCCTACCTCCACCCATTGGCCCTGGGACTGCATGAGCAGCAGGACACAGGGGTCCGACTTGTTGAGGGTGTCACGGTCCAGGAGGTGCCTGCAGCTCACCCTCAGCTCCACCTTGGAGAGGACGGCCAGCGATGCCTGCGAGGACGGCTCGGGCGCTTCGCCCATGGTGGCTGCGGCACGGGGGGCAGCCGGACGCGATGGGGGGCAGGCGGCTCCGTGGGACAGAGGCATGAGGGGTACAGGGTGGCCCTACAGCCTCGCTGTCAGTGCATGGGGCAGCTGCTTGTCATGCCCAGGGCATAAGGCCCTGCGGTGCTGGGTGTCGGGATGGAGCCTGTGTGCCGGTGGGTGCTGCTGGGGGCTTGGCCACTGGGGCAGGGTGGGTGTTGGGGAGCCCACAGACTCTCTTTGAAGCGAAGTGGCTGGTCCCGGTGGTCCCGTGGAACCCTGCAAGGTGTCAGGACACCATGGGGTGAAGCAGAGTTGGCCACATTTAACTGTCACCGCGCAGAACTGGTGGCATGCTGGGGTGATGGGGGAATTCTGCCCCGCTGGGGACACAGCCACTCTTCACCTGGATGCTGGCAGGGCTCAGCCTGGTGATGCAGCGTCGGCTCTGCCACCCCATCCCCACCCCATCCTCATTCTATTCTCACCGTATCTCCTCCATCCCCATCCCTTTCCCCATCCCCACTACCCCTAGTTGCAGCACCCAGGCTCTACCCATGCCAGGAGCCCATCCCATGCCAGGAGCCACTGCCACCCAGTTGAAGTTTCCCCACGGAGTCACATAGGGCCATGCCCTGCCCGGCACGCAGCTCACACGCCTGGCTCTGCTGGGCACCATCCCCTCCCCAGCATCCCAACACAGCCACGCATCCCTCGGTGAAGGGATCCCGGTGCCCCCAGCCCACCCCACCCAGCCCCCTACCTGTGTGCCGGGGCTCGGTGCGCTGCTGGACGAGGGCTGGGGCCAGTGTGTGCCAGCCGGAGCCGCGTGCCAGCCGGAGCTGCGCCGCTGCCACCTCCACACAACTGACTCAAGCTGCAATTCGGGAGCGGAGCCCTAAGAGGGAGACTACAATCTCCGTTAACCACCTCGCTGCCGGCACCAGAGCACAGACCGCCCGCGGGCACCGAGGCTGCCAGGGGTCCCCGGTACAGCCAGCAGCACCATGGCCTGTGCCACAGCTTCGGCATCAACCCCTCCTCCTCCCCTGCCCAGCACTGCTCTCACCCCACACGCCCCATAGTCCATCACTACTCCCCACGGGGTGCCCAAGGCCCATCCCTATCCCATGTAGCCCCATCCCCCTGCATTTCCCCCCTAACAGCCACCCCGACTGCAGGGACAGACAGAGGTGTCCCAGTGGCGCCTGGCCACCAGGTGCCACAGCCCCACGTCCCCCTGGTCTGGGGCCCCCCCACACCCCACACATCCCCCCGGCACTGCAGCTCCATCAGTGCAGCTTTATGAAGGGGATATAATTAGCCCATATTCAGAGGGGATTAAAATGCAGAGAGGGCTAACGAGCGGGAGGGCACCGCGGGGCCCTGGGCTGCAGGAGCTAATCCCACACTGCCTGGCAGAAGTAGGCCACCCTCCTTCCTTCCAGCAGCTCAGCACCCTGGGATCACCAGCACCCGAGCGCATCGCCGCTGCCATTCCCAAATTTGCTGTCACACAGCTAACGAATCGATGGCTCAATCACGCGACTGGCAGCCATGCTGCAGCACGGCCCAGAACTGCTTAGCCAGCCCGGGGCTCCCCGGAGCGGGAAGGAGCCCATGGCACCGTGACTGTGCCTGGTCAGCCCAGAGGGACGCGGCTGGCACAGCCCCCAGGAGCTGGGCAGAGCCCCAGGGCGGCCCTTCATCCAGCGAGGACTGGGCTCGTTATCACAGCCACTGCTCTTAAGAAACTCCTTAAAGGCCCAGGGGATCAGCACCAGGATCAGGACCGCAACAGGGAGCATCCATGCAGCACCCGTGTCACCGTGCGGTGCTGGGACCCTGCTCCACCCAGCGGCAAGCAGCAGCAAGCACAGCCCCGAGCTGTCCCCACATCTCACCAACATCCAGAAGTGGGGACCCGCACCCGAGTGATGCCACAGCCACTCCAGCCCCCTGCAATCACCTCGGGACAGTGGGGTGGGAGGAAGGCAGGCCCGCCTGTGGTGGGACATCCTCAGCGTTCTCCTTCGTAGCCCCCACGCTGGCTTGTGCTGAGCACACCACACCTACAACAGCACCAAGATGTGATTTCACACTCACCCTGGAAGGCAGAGCCAACAGAGCTGTCCAGCTGCACAGCACCGGGCCGTGGCTCAGGGATTCACACACTGCTCAACAAAGTCAGATGAAGTCCACGCTGCGTCCCTGAAGACAAAGCAAACCACCCTACCTGAACAGAGCTGCACACGGAGGTGTTTGCTTCCCTTGCTGCTGAGGAAGGTTGGAGTCTCACTCAGCACAGAGAACAAGATTTCCCACGCCTGCACAGCTCCCCACGCTGCGCCCCCCCCCACAGCAACACACCACAGGTATCCACACAGCAGGCAGGCCAAGCTCCAGGGCAGCAACACCCTGCACAGCGCCCCTCACAAGACACCACACAGTGCTCTATTTCCATATTTTTTTATTGACAGTTCTGGTGAGAACAGTTCATTTCTTCTTCTCCACGTCCTGCTCTGCTGCTTCTTTGGCACGTTTTGCACGAATCCCAAAGAGACGAGCGTTTGCCCGGGCCATGCGCAGGCTGGCAAAGGCCTTGAAGTTCTTCTCCTCCTCTGAGATAACACGGGCCTTCTCCCGTTTGAAAACCTAGTGGGAGAGAGAGCCCGACAGTCAGACTATACATCAGAGGCTGCCAAAGAGACAGCGTTTAAGGCTTAACACAATTAATCTTGTTATATTTCTACCACCGGCTCCAAGATGCTGCTAAGAATACAAAATTTGTGCAATCCCCAGGCCCTGCCCTTATCATCACTCCACCAGGCACCTCATTTCCACCAGTTTCTCATTTGCCAGTGCACGTCAGCAGACGAGCAGAAAATACCAGGAAAAAAAACCAACACACAAACAAACACAAAACGAGATGTGAGTCAGGTTTGTGGCGCACAGCAACGACATCTTCCAGCATCAGAGCTCAGCAGCGGCCTGGTGACCTGCTGAGGCTGTCACACAAGGCTGCACCACAGACACAAAGAGGCGCCCCTGCCCACAGCACAGCAGACAGGAGGTGCCTGAGGTTGTCACCCCACATCCTCACAGCACTCTTGTGGGGAGCTGCTCTGTGACATCCCACAAAGAACAAGATTCAGGGTCACACTTACGTTCCTGATCGGCATAACCGGTCCGGACAACTGAGTAGCCATCTTGAGTTCCTCAGGCTGCAAAACAAGAGAGAAAAAAAACCATTTCAGGAACAGAAATGTAACATCTCTCATCGCAGTACCTCGATGAACCAAGTGCCTGGTACACAGGCTTCCAGCTTCAAGAACACTCAACCATTCTGACCAGAGATTTAACAGCAACGGTAACCAATTCAGCACTTCTCTCATGCAGCTGTACTTGGCACAGAGGTGCTGCAACCAACAAAGCACACCTTCCTGGCCATCAATCTGCCCACCCCAGCCAGGGGAGCCGTAGCCTTTCAGGAGTTCTGCCAACTGGAAAAGTGTTGTTGTCCCCTGGGCCATTTTTAGTCTGCCTGCTCAGCGCTCTCTTCAGCAATTCCTTCCACAGCCAATTCCAGCTTCTGGTGTGAGAGTGGCAGTGGCAAAAATGAATAAATCAGCTATCTGAAGCTTCAAGTAAATAAATTTGAAACACGGTTCCAGAGAAAAGTATCTTTATCTACTGATATCAGAAACAGATTGCAGCAGACAACCTGAAAGCTGCGCTGAATTTACTAAGTTACAGGTTTGTGTTGCTAGCCAATTTCAAACTAGAATAGAATGTGTTTGGCAAAGATTTTGTGTGCTACCCACAGCAATTTGGAAAAAATCCACCTTCTGCATAGGCACCCAAGGCTCAGAAGGAGTTCTGACTTCATAATCCTCATGTCCACACTTCCACCAGTCCCACAAGTCACACCACAGAGCAGCACCCCCCTGAGTTACTAAGCTGACACACGCAGCACAACATCCACATCCAACCTGGCTGTGTAAGATGTCAGACCCTCCCTTTCCTGCTCTGGGAAGCAGCCCAAATGAGCTCCAGCCCTGCAGGCAGCACTATGGAAAAGCAGCTCAGGGCAGACGACTCTGCAGAAGATTGAAGGTAGCTGGAACACACCACCTCGTTCCATTACTTGCACCTCCCCGTGGGAAGCATGCATTTTTAACAAGAACAGCCAAGAACATGAGAAAAGCCAACTCTACTCTGATCTGGGTGAGATTTTAACGAAAACCATTTCTGTACGTCAACAGCAACAACCTTCTAGAGATTTCCTCTAATCCCTCCTTTCACTGAACCACTCAGCTGAGAAATTCCTTGCCTTCCCCACCCTTTCCATACAGTTATTACCGCAGCAGAGCAGACACCTCAGCCAGCCTTTTTGTTCTGACACTTCAGCCTCATAAACTATAATTGAGCAGGCCAAAACAGAGCAGCTCCATGTCTGAGCTGCACCTCCAGCAGCACAGCAGCCCCCAGCCCAGAAGCAGTGCTGCACTCCTGGCAGCCCCAGCCAGCTGACAGCACAGACACCACCAGAAAGCCCAGCTCCACCCATCCCAGCCCTGTGGGCAGTCACCAACTGTATCTGTGCACAGAACCAACATGCCCTCCTCCTACGGGTCTGTGTTACTACAAGTATTCAAGAACACAGCCTGGGCACCAGGAGAACAGGCTGAGGGCCAAACCTCTGCAGAAGTGAGCAGAAATAGGCCCTGTCACATGTTTCTAACAGGCAGGTACTTACAGAGCTGTCTCCTTTCTTAGGTGCAGATGGCTTCCTTGGGAAGAGGATAAGCTTGGAGCGATACTCCTTCAGCCGCTGCACGTTGGCCTGCAGGGACTCTGTAGATTTGTTTCTTCGCCTGGGATCCACGGAGATCCCAATGGTCCGAGCAAACCTTTTGTTAATGCCAGCCAGCTAAAGAGAGAGCACAGAGGCAGCAGTTAGCAGTGTGCTGCTGGGGGTCAGCAGGAAGGAGCTGATCAAGAGGCAAGCCTTTAACAGCATCACACAGATGGATTTCCTGAGCTGGGTGTTCAGGCTCTGATACACACCATATAAAGCTATGAAGTCAGCACAAAGATAACTGTGGTTCACAGAATATTGAAAGCTCCACTAAAGAAATAATTTGGTAATGCTTCTAAGCAAGTAACAGCCTCGTGTCCTGTTTAAATGCATACAGCCTCATGCTGTTTTATGCTAGAATCAACATTACCCGAAATTAAAGAAAAGCAAAGAAACGAGGAATTTGGCATTGAAAGGACAACCTTATTGCTTGCATGCACTAATCTCACTGCTGTATTTTTATTAGATTCTGAACAGGACACAAGGGAAGCCGCAGCCAGGGATGCAGGCTGCCAGCAGTGCCCAACATTTAGTGCTGCAATCCAAGACCAGCAGCTCCCTGGAGCACCAGGGCAAGGAGCACAGGACACATTTTAAAGCAAGGCGAGGGTTGCTGGAGACCTTAAGGTGGTCACAAGCTGCTCATTACACACCTTTTATTTAAAGTGAAGTTCAGGAGCCTCAATTCAAGCTCTGCCTAAATCTGATTTTAAACAAACTGTAGTACCTGACAGCCCAACCACAGACACAGCAATATTTACTCTTCAGATCAACCTTTCACTGACATACACCATTCCTTCCCCACCCCACAGCTGCTGAATGCACGCAGATGCTGACACTGCAGCACAGTGCTGAACTCAACTA